ACTTTAGGGGTTGTCACCTCTGATCTGTATTACTCTTTTGTCGACTATGAGAGGCAAGAATATGTTCTCAATTCAATATTACATTCCTCCTTAATGTGCTCTCACAACTTTTAGTCTAAGTAATAACTATTCTCTGGCTCTGTCCACTAATAAACAGTCTACGAGGTCTCACGTACAACGCCTCATACGGTGCAACTGATATTCAATAACTGTTGTTATAAATGAATTCCATCAATGGGGTTGTGGTCATCTTGTTTGTTCTGATAATCCATATCGCATGCTTGTAATATATTCTCCTAAAGTGTAAAGTAAACACCAATTCTTGGTTTGATACAATCATCTTTGGAACTTCATAAAATATCACTATTTTCTAAATAATTATCTTTGCATACATTTCCACTGTATAAGTTGTTTTTAGGGGTAAAAAATGTACCGGTTTCGTCAACCAATCAACTATCATCCAAATATATTTTGTTTCTTTCTTTGATCTTTGTAATCCTACAATAAAATCCGTAGAAATATCTGCTCACTTTCACTCTGGAATGGGTAAAGGCTATAGGGTTCTAGATGGTCTCTGATGTATTGCCTTCACTTATTGGCAGATAAAATATTTAACTACATATTTCAAAATCTCCTTACGCATGTCGCTCCGTTAACACATCCTTTTAATTCTTTGTACATTTCCTATGTGTCTAGATGTTCTATATACTTAGTACGATATGCCTCATTAAATAAATCCTTCTTAAGTTGTGGATATCCCGGCATCACTAGTCGACCCGTAATTCGGAAACTCCCGTTGGTTTCGATGGTTCATTCTGCTTTAGTCTCTATAGAAGCTTCCTTCTTACGGATTTTTAATCTAAGAATATCCTATCTGGGTATTGATCTTTTCATAACTCCAAGATGACTTCACTAATAAAGCTCATAAGAAAATAATGTTTCCACTAATCTCTTGTCTAAAGCTAATCTGGCTGAGAGTGTAAAGTTCTCGATGTAATAAACATTAAACACTTTAAAATTGTATATTAAAATTAACGTTTTATGCTCAACATGTCTGCGACAGCAATTGTCTTTCCTTAAGGATACTAAATTGCAAACTCATAATCTTTAATAAACTCGACTCTTTGCCGCTGCCTCTGGTTATACTTCTTTTGGGATAAAGGTACTTCCAAACTCTGATAATCCGTATATAGTTCCCTTTGTCCTCTGGTTATACTTCTTTTGGGATAAAGGTACTTCCAAACTCTGATAATCCGTATATAGTTCCCTTTGTACTCCATACAAATGATGTCTTAATTTAAGGTACTTCCAAACTCTGATAATCCGTATATAGTTCCCTTTGTACTCCATACAAATGATGTCTTAATTTTTTCAATGCGAAAACCACTGTTGTTATCTCCAAACCATGTATGAGATAAATTTCGCTCATGAGTCCTCAATTATCTTAAAATACAAATATTTCCTCTCTGGGTCTGCGTCAAAATACCTCTAGGACCGGATACATTCACATACGTGTAAACAATTAATTTTTTTATCACTAATTAGAATAACCATCACTGGTGTTGTAATCAATTTAACCTTCAGACGTTTTCTGACACTCTATGCTTCAAATAAACTATATACCCTTCTTCGTAATGTGTGTAAGTGACGTCGAAATCGTCGAAAAAAACCTTGAAGTATCTTTCTATAATAGCTGGTCCAAAACTAAGAAGTTATGAATTTCTGAAATGATCTACACCTTAGCTGGTTTTTACTGCGATGCCCTCTCGGCTGATAACATGTTCCAAAATTCAGATCTCAGGTAACTAGAATTCATACTTGCTAAAAATTAGCGTATAGCTGGTGTTCCCGTAACGTCTGTAATGCTAACCTCAAATGATGTTCATGCTCGGCCTCCAATCCCGAATAGATAGGAATATCATCGACGAGACCTCATAGACTTGATTGTCAGAGAAACCACAGGGGAACCAGTCCTCGTACTCTTATAAGTTTCTATATGTGCAGACTTTTCAGCCACTCAACTCAGAACCAGATATTCAGGGAAGGAAGCGGCCCCTAACAGTCACTCATCAACTTCACCCCCATCTAACCACGGATATAATTGACTGTGTGATCACTGAACATCAACAACAAAGGTTTTAAATCTTTATAGACTTAATTGAACTTAAATAACTTATAGTTTATGAAAGCTATATACCTCTACTTGTATCTTATTGCACTTAAATATCCTAATATTTTCTAAAATTGCATATTTGTACCTTCTATCCTGTTGCCTAGACGTAAGAACACTCTTTGTAATTTTCCTACATGAGTGTCATGGTATAATTCTAGGATAATTCTAGGTTTTCTACTCTTTTCATAAATAATTTATTAACATGGAATTGTCTCTTAATATATTATTATACATTAGTGATAATTAATATGATGTAAAGTTTTACAATAGTATTTGTTATGGTGTTCACTCACCCAAGATACAAATATTTACAAAATGATACAATGAGAATCCTAGCAAAAGAAACTCAAACATTTGGCCGATTTCAATAGACTGCCTCTCGGCCTTAGGGGAAGGAAAGCTCTAGTCAACTCTCAAGAGTTCTAGACATACGACTCCTCAGTCGAATTTCAAACCCTTGGCTCTTTATCAAGGTAAGCCCAAGGCACAATATATGTTCGATTCTTCCGGCTCTCATCGATCATCATGGACAAGCCCTTGGTACCTCATCGGGAATAAACCCAAGGCACAATCACAGAGGCCTCAGCCCCCACCGACTTATCAAGCCGACTCTCCTGAGTCGACACCAAAGGCAATATTGGTCGGCACGAGAGATCCTGACTTCCTATATGAGTCGACATCTTTACATCGACTCAAGAGACGGTTATTAGCTGAGACGAGATGACATTCCAACTAGTCGGATAGGCCAACATTCCTGAGTCGACACGAAAGGCGAAATCAGTCGACCCTTCATAACCGAGACGACTCCTCAAGAGTTCGCCCGACCACTTACTCGGCTGTTTAGTCAACCAGAAGTTCACTCGACTACCTAGTCGACAAACCACAAGGACGACTTAAAGATTGACACATCTTTGCCAAGAGGATAAGATCAAACTGAGTTCCCTTCGGATATACACCAGCTCTCTAATCGACGACACAACACTGACTGGTCCCATCAAGACCACAGCTCTAACAATTCTCGTGACTTAGCAGCCAGCATGCTCATACTTCACTCACAAGTCGCTTTCCGGATATTGCGGAGACGTCTTCTCCCATACCGAAGTGACTCCCCATCCAGTCGCTACCTGACACCTGTAAAGCGATGGATGATTCAGTATACCCATGTGCCTTCTGTCACGCTGTCAATCACTTCCCGAAAAATACGGAGACGTTCTCTACATACCGAAGTAACTTCCCTTCCAGCCGTCTGCCAACATCTGTAAAGTGGATGATGATTTAGCAGCCAGCCAGCTCACTCCACAACTGTCATCCTGTGCAAAATGAAAGCCAGAGGTTAACACCTCAAGAGCGATCCACTATAAAGGAGGGGGGTAAGAACAAGAGGGCTCTCTCGGCTACTTCTTCTTCTTGATATATTAGTAAAATTAAACTAAGAAATCTAAACTTAAAATACTCCTTACAAGGACCTCAATAGTCCTCAGACTTTCCCTTAAACTTCACTCAAGCTCACCAGCTAACTTGACTGTCGAAGGTACCACAGGGGAACTAGTCCCCGCCCTCTTACGGGTTTGTTCTTCTGGTCTTTGTAGCGGATTCAGATATCCCAGTTCAAGAACCAGACATAAAGTCGAAGAAGGGAGCGTGCCCTCCATCATCCTTCATCACCCCGTGACCATCTTCTTCTGGATTAATCGACTGTTTGATATTGAGCATCAACAGTGTTGAAAGGTTTAGAGACCAAGTTAGACAAACTTGTATTAATTTATAGTATGAAAGTTATACACCTTCATTTGTATCTTGTTGTACTTAAATATCCTAATGTTTTCTAAAATTACATATTTATACATTCTGTCCTGTTACCTAAACGCAAGAATGTTCTTTGTAATTTTCCTATATGAGTGTCATGATATAATTTTAGAACAATTCTAAGTTTTCTACTCTTTCCATAAATAATTTATTAACATGCAATTTGCCTATTAATATATTATTATACATTAGTAATAATTAATATAATGTAGAGTTTTACAATAACATTTGAAGTTTTAGGGACCAAGTTAGACAAACTTGAAGTGACATATAATATAATTAAATAACAATAATAATTAATTTAGTTTAGTTAGGATTAGGATGTAATATAAAAAAGAATATGGGTAATATAGTCCATAGAAAGTTTTTGTAATTTTTCTATGAGTGTTAGGGTACAATTTTAGAACTATTCCATGTTTTCAACTTTTTCCATAAATAATTTATTAACATGCAATTTGACTATTAATATATTATTATGCATTAGTAATAATTAATATGATGTAGAGTTTTACGATAACATTGAAAAATTTAGGGATCAAGTTAGACAAACTTGAAATGACACATAATATAATATAATTAATAATAATAATTAATTTAATTTAGTTAAGATTAGAATGTAATATTAAAAAAATAGGAGTAATATAGTCTATAGAAAGTTTTTACACGCTATATTTAATAATAATAATTAATACTTTATAGGACTTTTACACACCAAAAAACCAAAAATTTAATTTAAATAGAAGAATTATGAACTATAAGTGGGTTTCGAGTACGGTGTACGTCATTTACAGTCCATATATGGACCTCACAAAAAAAAAGGTTCCCTCATTGGATTCTACAGAATCCAACAAGTTGCCAACTTGGAACCCAAAAAAAAAAAATTTGCAGACATAGTTCGAAGTTTGAAGTGCATTTATAGCCTAATTCTGTCGTTATTATAAACATATGAGCTGTTAATGAGCGGAGAAAAGCCACGGAGAAGTTGGCGGGTCTTCAACAACCGTCCCTTTCTCTCTCTAAACACTCCCTCCCTCTCTCTGAACTTTCTCTCTCATGACAGGGTGTTCTTTACTGGCTCTCCCTCCCTTTCTCTCTCTAAAAATAACAACTGGGCATTGAGGGGGGAGAGAGAGAGAGAGATAGAGAGAGAACAAAAGGCAGAGAATAAAATCTCTCTTTAGACTCTCCTGACGTTTTGAGGAGAGAGAGAGGACAGAGGGAATAGTAATAAGAATACCCACAAATATAGTAAAGCCATTGTTTTTGCTTTTCCTTCTCTTTGTTCTTCACGCAGAGATGAGCCTCTTCGGCCTTGGGAACAGGTCAATATTTCTAATGTTTTTCTCTTAAAAATTCGATTTTGTGATCTGGGTTTGATGTATTTCTTCATGTTTTCGCATGGTGATCTTCGTTTGAGAAGATTAGGGATTTTGTTAGCAGGAAAAAGCTCTGTTTTTTGTTTATTTTATTTTATTTTCCTAAGTAGAGGGGGATTCTGATCTGGGTTTGATTTAATTTGTCGAGCCATATGGTTTAAAAAGAAAATCTTTTCAATGTAATTAATAAGATTAAAAAAAAATTGTTGTGATACGTTGAGGTTCATATCGTTTTGATCCATTTTCTTCAGAAATCAGAAGACCTTCAGGCCCAAGAAGAACGCGCCCTCAGGGAATAAGGTCAGATGTTTTCCTTTATTATTTTTAGGCTTTTGCTTATGCTTATTTAAATTATTGGATTTGTGCTAGTTATTATTCCTATTATGTCGTTGAAACTTATTGTTGCTTATGAGCCATACATGGTATTTTCTCTTTTTCATTTTCTTTGTGCCATGAAATTGAATTATTTGCATTTATCAGAATAATATTCTGAAACAATCCCTTGTATAGTATTGATTTTGACAACAAGACCGCTCATTGTCTTTAGAAAGTAAAGTATCGGCTCACATTAGTAATTACTTGAGGATGCAAGTACGGTATTGCTTGATCAAAATCCTTGGAATGTTTTATCCAGAGAGAAGTGATTGTACTTTTGGTGATGATAGCTGATAGCTAGCTTAACACTTACCTCTACAAAATGAATCTTTAAGTGTACATGCCTGTTTTATTGTGCAAGAGATTGTATCTGCCTATTTACATGGAAATGTGTTTAAAAGGAGTTGAACGGAGAAAAAGATTCGTTCGTGTGAATGACATCGAATTTTAGACTTGTGGTTGTATTGTTTTTAAATATTATGCGTAGTATAATGTATCTAAGGTTTTCTCCCTTAAAACATCTCCTTTAAATTCTAAATTTATTGACCTTGTTATTTAAAGCAACTAATTTGTTTGAGACACAGAAACATTAGCAGGCCTAAATATATAAGACTTTAGCAGGTCTATCTCCATCTTTTAAAGAGAGCATAATGATGATTTAACGATTTGATGTGGTGCGGATTATTGTTGGCCTAACTATCTTTTGTAATTCCATAAGTATAATGTGACTAACTAGTGGTTATAAGCTGAACGTCACCCTTCACAGTCTAGAAATGGAATGCATTATGTAAATAAAAAAAACTACTAAATGCCATATTCACAAATTTTGCAAGTATTTTGTATGATGAAAACTTGGTTTAATGTATCATCTTCAGATTTAGGTTCGTCTTAATAGAAAGCTTATTGTGTTTGAGTGTCCTTTCACACTTTGCTCTTTAGCATACCCAAACCTCAATTTTCTATTCATTTAACAAAGAGGTATGTTTTGTGAATGTTATTCTTTGGTTGCATACGGATAAGTTACTGTGAAACTTCTAACTTTGAATTTCTTTCGAGGCAGGGAGCGCAACTAAAGAAACACATTGATGCTACATTGGGCAGTGGCAATTTGAAGGAGGCTGTTCGTCTACCCCCTGGAGAGGATCTGAATGAATGGCTCGCCGTAAACAGTATAGCTTTCACCCTAAACAACTTGTAGTGAAGTAGTTTTAGATTTAATTGCGGACAGACCCCCTAGAGCATCATTGTTTTGAACTTACTACCACTCTATGTTTATTTTTACAGGTAGACCCCCCTGAGTGAAACTTTTTGACTCTTTTACCTTCAGGGGTCTGTTTGTCAAGAAACAAATTTCTCTTTCTCAAAGGGGTAAAAGAGAAAAATGTTCAATTAGGGAGCTATCTGCAAAAATAAAACTAGAGGCATTGTTAGTTCAAAACAACAATACTACAGGGGGGTACATCTGCAATTAACCCTTAACTTTTATGCATGTACCATGAGGGATTTCGTTACTTTATACTTAAATTGGTTCAAGTGCAATATATATCCATGTTCAATGCAGAACCATTCTTGATGAGATACTTATGACGTCTCACTATTTGCATTTCTTCCTCAGCTGTTGACTTCTTCAATCAAGTGAACCTTTTATATGGTACTCTTGCTGAATTTTGCACGCCAACTACTTGCCCAACAATGTCTGCAGGGCCGAAGTATGTTCTATCGACAATTAAAAATTACATCTATTAATTGCACAGAGATCATCTGTAGCATCCTTGTTTTGAACTTACTACCCTCTGTAGTTTCATTTCATCAAATAAACCCCTTGGGTTGAACTTTTGTGATACACTGGGTCAATATCTACCAAAAATTCATCCAGGGTAAACAACTCAAAAGTAATTAACCCAGGGTGTCTATCTGCCAAAATGAAACTACAGGTGTAGTAAGTTCAAAAATTCTACAGGGTTCTAGGGACAATTAACCCTTAATAATACCCAGAATCTACATATCATTTCTATCATCTATTTAGGGTTATCAGGATGCTAATACAGATGGATTTTCCACAGGTTTGAGTATAGATGGGCTGATGGTGTACAAATTAAGAAACCTATAGAAGTGTCCGCACCAAAATATGTCGAGTATTTGATGGATTGGATTGAAGTCCAACTTGACGATGAGACAATATTCCCTCAGAAGCTTGGTATGGTGTGATGTCTTGCGACAGATTTGATACTGTGCCTCCATAATTTTTTTTACTGATATATAGAATTATTACAGGTGCACCATTTCCAAACAATTTCAGAGAAGTAGTTAAAACAATCTTTAAACGTCTTTTTCGGGTATATGCTCACATCTACCACTCACATTTCCAAAAGATTGTTAGCCTGAAGGAAGAAGCTCATCTAAATACTTGCTTCAAGCATTTCACTTTGTTCACATGGGTAAGATTTTGTAAGAAAAATGCTCGTCCTTCCCTGTTTATTAAAATGTTGTAATTTTCATTTCTACATCTAAATGCTTGCTCTTCGTTCTGCAGGAATTCAAACTAATTGAGAAAGGGGAGCTCGCACCGCTGAATGATCTTATCGAGTCTATCATCCTTGCTTATTGAAAATTATACCCCCTGACAAAGGAAGCAGAATTATGAATTAATGCATTAATGGATACCAACTGGGATTTTCTTAGAACAGGGCTTTCGTCCACTTGTTTTTCCAGTTTGATTTAACATTTTTTATTCTTCAGGTTGTTGATTCTCATTTTTGTTGTGAACTAGTAATTAGAAAAGGATTGTTGTTATGTTCACTTCTCCTGTTGTGCTTGTTGTTGTAATGAACAGTAACTGGTGAAGATGTATACCTGAATTTTCTATTTTGATCCTCATTTTATTATTACAATTTCTGGTATGTAATCTGATCCATTTTTTTATTGGAGTATATATTACTTGAAATATGATCATCATCGATTTATAATAGATGTGTATTTTTAAATTGAACATATCTACAATAATGGTTAATGAAATAATCCTTTAGCATGATTCATTAATACATGTTTCTTCGAAATATTATTACCTATTAAAGCTGCACCTGGTTTGGAACTGTTGAAATTGATAACCCATAAGTACAAGGATTTAGTCAGAATCTAAACTTCTCTCAGCTGCTCTGCTCTAGTTAGGAAACAGAATCTTCTGCATTGATTTTTTTTTTTCTTCTTGGTTTTCCTACGAGGTATATTCCCACCTTTCAGATGAGACTAATCCCTGCTTGCGCTTCGTGGTTGGCGCTGGCCCGAGTGTTTCTTTCCTACTAGGGGATTTGACCACAAGACTTCCCAATATGGATCATCCCCCAACAGAAGCTGAGCAGGGCCTTACACTATTGAGCCAACCCTGTATTGATTTTACACAGTTTTGTGTTGGATAAACCATTTAAATCTCTTTCAAGGTATGAAAGGTAAAGGATTTCTCAAGTTAAGGCGAGCTCAATAATATAAAGAACTAAATACTGAATATTAACGAGAATAGCATAGATCTTCTGAGATATCCAATAATTTTCTAAAAATATATATATAGAGAAGATCGGTATGAACGAAGCACAAGAATCACACATGCAAATTGAGCTGTGATATCCGGCACAGACCAAAGAATAAATCATTGAAGTAATGCCTCGCCAATAATATTTAACAAATAATGAAAAATACAAGTGACCTGAGAAAGAATCAACTTCATGTATACAGGGGATACATCCCGATTTGCTTTACAAAGGTTACATGATCTCTTTAAACTATTAGGTACAGATAATGGCAATGAATTCAAAGAATTGCTTCTAGTTGTTTCAGGTCTGGATCCAAGTCCTCAGGTTTGCTTTCTTCTTCCTCGTCGTTTGGATTTCTATATGCATCTGCAATTGCCTTTGCCTTATCAAGCACTGGTGATGGCACAGTTTGCAAGAGGCTGTAACGATTATCCTTTTTAGATTACACTGCACCAAGTTTCTAACCAATGAAGTTTATTCTAGATCTTCATATCAGTTTAAAAATACCAAATAATTGTCTCCTGTATATGAATGTTTTCATGCAAACATGTTTACAGAACAAAACCCTCGCTCAAAGAAAAATGAGAAAAATGTGAAGGTGTATGGTTACAAAATGTAGGTATAAGAAGCAAAAGAAGTAAATGATCATGATAATAATGGAGTGAAATTCAACAATACCTATCTATTGCACCCAGAGCAACATTGACCTTGTTCTTCATAGATTTAATTGATGCAGTTGGATCTTTCCTCGTTGCATGTAATAGCATAGAATCGAGATCTTCCAAGGCTCTAGAAAATCATATGGATTAAGTTATTGGTCAAACTGGTGAAGTTTATACAAGCAAGGGAAAGTTACAAGCCCACCGTAGGCATTGATCAACAGCATCAGAAGCTACTTTTCCTTTACCATCATCAATAGCATACTGCGCCACCTATAATTCCGAAGATAATGTTCAATGCCAGAAGGAACTCAGGTCATAAAGACTGCCACAGCAAATGAACATGAATAAACAGTCAGGGAGCTAAAATTGTGTTACTAGGTTTTGATCTCAGCACAAGTACCCAAAAAAAAGCCATAACGTTTTACAGTTGGGATATTCACTAGACAGAATGATTCTGTAGCGAATCTGATGATTAGTCATATAAGCATTCGAATGTGTTTGAACACAGTTTTCCTAAATCCAATTGCAATTTCCCCCCGTCAAGGCTTAACATGTGTTGATTGATTCTCAGCTTTCCTTGAGTGGAACCTTCTCAAGTTCTCACCAAATACTTAACATTTTATCAACCTCAAGGAATTGTATTTTTAACTCCTCATGAATAATTCACTACTTAATCAAGAAACACTTTCATTGCATTGTGTTTGTGTGTGTGTGTGTAGTGATAGTGCCTAGTCCTTTCATAGCACAAATTATCTATTGCAATCAAAAAGCAAGTTCCAAACTTCAACAATGGATAAAGAATTTAGTCAAAGAGATTAAACGGTAAAATTTTCTAAAGATAATCATATTAATACTGAAGCACAAGATGCTAGAGAGAGCTCCATTTTACTCAAACTGAACTTTATATTCTCAATATTTAAGTTCAAGGGTCTATTACAATATATAGCAACATAAAAGAAAGCAAAAAAATGCGATGCTTTAGACTAGCCAATATATATAAACCAAAAAAATAAGCAAGAGTTCAGAACCCTACTGCTCGAATATTTATCCGCAGAGACGCTGCAGGTCCAGAGCGCAATAAAGATCTGCTAAGCTCATATTCCGGCATCTCCACATTTAAAGATTTCTCTGTTTGAAGAAAACAATATCCAATCTATCCATTAAAGATCTACATGGCGCCAATGTATTATCAAAGAGGACAAAGAATAATGACCAGTAGGTAACACATTAAAAAATAACTCTGTAATGTAGTAAGTAATTGGAAATTTTGAAGATTTAAATAAAAGAAATCACATCTATGTACAAGGAAAAAAAAGAACAAAAAAAGAAAGGTAGATGAGATGAGGAACATGAAAAGCGTCAGAAGATCTCATACCAATTTACTTGGTTTTTAGCTCGCAAGTCAATTGGCATGCTCCAAACTATCCACTCGACCTTCTCATAATGTCATTTGCTTTTTAAGTGCTCATAATCATATTGTACTTTGTTTTTAGAAAAATTATCCAAATAAAAAATACTACAAAAACAAGTTCTAATACAACATTGCTACAGAACTCGAGGTTGCAGTGGAAACAAGGAACTTAATCTGAAAAATATGTCGAAGAAGGAATTAAGTGAGTGGAGATTCTGAAGAACGTAAACAGGCAGTCTACACTCCATCTTTAGGTTCCAGAAGAAACAACAATACAACAATACACTAAGTATTCGCTACAGTCGTGCTCTTACTAGTTGATTATTTCCTCAAAATAAAATTTTGGTATTTTAATTATTGCAAAATGGGTCAATTTTACATAATTTTGAGATTATCGCATAAATTCATGAAGATTTTCCAATCCCTACCCAAATACTTGAACTGGTCTTCAGTCAATAGAACAGCAGGCACGTACGCTTCTAAAGGCTCCAGCTTTTTCCTGATGCATACTACATTTAGCATCATCAACTAACAAAATCAACCAAAAATTTGAACTTTTTCAACAAAACAATTCTTTTCCCCAATATTGATTTTTCCTTACCGCTTCACATATTTATCGAAGGGATTGGCAGCATCAGCACCTAGATAAACAAAGATCGAAATCAACAAGAAAGTCCAAGATCAATTGAGAATTGGGAGATTGGATGAGCTCACGTTTTGGGAGAGAGAAAGAGGAGTGGAAGAGGACGAGGGCGATTGATAAGCTGAGCGGCGGCGTCGTTAACCTGGCTCCGTCGGCGGCGGCGCTCCGGCGGATGAGGGCAGGTGGAGTAGCAGCAGGTGATGGGGTGGCGCCGCCTGAGATGGTGGCTTTGCGGGAACGGCGCTACGCAGGAATTGGGGATTTGAGAGGAGAGAAGCGCGGTAGAAGGAGAAGCCATGCGGAGGATACGAGATTTTCCGTGGTTTATCCGCTTAATTCTTTTTCATATTAGTCCCGCTTCTAATTACCATTTTGCTTTCTTTTTGGGAAATAAACTACTCTTTTTTTTCCAGTTCTTAACTTCTCAAATTTTCTCTACAAGATTTAAAATTATTTTAATTTAGTACATTAGTTTGAAAATCTTCTAAAAACACTAGAATGAGAAACTAGGTTTTTGTGTCCCATTTTATTTGTCAGCTTAGCTCACACCCGCCAAAGGCGACTCGTGTAGCGTGGGCACCCATGAGAGTCAAGTCGAGACGAGTTCTCACTTGACCTTATCACTTGTATTGGCCCCCTATTCACTCAAGGCCGGGTCGACAACTTGTGAGGCCGACTAAAAAGGCGGTAATTGTCGTCCAGCTCACAAAGCCGAGTCAAGAGGTAGTTTGACGTCGAAATCATCGCCAACAACTGTCAATTACCATCATTGCTCATATCACGAGTCCTCGTGACTCATCCCCCTCCACACCTCTACAATTATCATCACATCAGATCAGTGATAACTCATTGCATTTGTTGTCTACACTTGTGAGCTATCTGCCAATTTAGCTGTCTACCTAGACTCAACCAGAGTTACGCTTCTACCCCTCTTAACTCGGTATATATATCAGCTTATTACCACTTGAGAGGGATTCCTCCGAAGCCCCCCACAGGGCCAAAGGTACGCCATTTCTTGCTAACTTCCACGACACATTCAAAACCTACTCAGTTTATTAGTTCCGCACTCAAGCTCTATACTGACTTGACCGATAGAGAAATGACCGGAGAACACAACTCCGGCCCTTTAACGTGCTTATTTTGCAGCTCTCTTATTCTCAATAGGGAATCAGTCATATGAGAAAATGAGGGGACATATATAGTCCATATGCACTCTAAGCCCCATCACTAACTCGGGATCATCCCCTAATCTCGCTGCTGAGTCCGAGAACATCAATAATTTCGTACATAAGGTTTGAAAGAAAATATATTGGGAAATCATGTGAACCCTACTATCAAGATAATTAATTTATAAAAAATCTAGAGTCTTAATTTGGGAAAGTACTATTTATACGTTTCCAAAGATGCTATCATCGAAGTATCTTTGTAATAAAAGGTAGATATCATAGAATGATTTCAACTAAAAAAAAGGATATCTGCTTAGGAACTATAATAGGACAATCTCGGTTGTCTCGAAACATGCTACTCATATGGACAAATTTTCAAAACAAACTCTTTTGCAAATTTATTCCCAAAAAACAACCAATTTCTTTCTTATTTGTAAAAACCGACCTGGTTCTAGCTTCAGCGATGAAACCAGGTCGGTTTTTACAAAAAAATTTTCTGAAACTTCACGGGAGTTGAACTCCCGTGATGTTTCACAATTAAAAAAATTTGTATTTGAACAAAGAAACTTCACGGGAGTTAAACTCCCGTGAAGTTTAGCAGCTTAACTAAAAACTGCTAAACTTCATGGTAGTTCAACTCCCGTGAAGTTTCAGAACCTTTTTTGCAAAAACCGACCTGGTTTCAGCGCTGAGGCTGAAACCAGGTCGTTTTTTACAAATAAAAATTAAGAGGGTCTTTTTTTGGAATAAAATTGCAAAAGGGATTGTTTTGAAAATTTGTCCCTACTCATATTCATACTTACTAATAAAATTTGCTCAAATTTAAGTATCATCAATGTTCGTACTATCGAATACGATTCTATGTAGGACTAATGGAGGAAAACAAAATTGAAACTTGAGGAAAGCTCCTAAGTAGATTAGAAATATCTCACTAATTATTTTTTCTAAGGGAAAAAATATACGTACTTAACAAATCAAAGCAATTCCGCACATAAACTTTATTTTAAACCTCAGCAAAAAATTATAAATTTAAAAATAAGGGAAAAATGCTTCTAGCCCCCAAAACAAAAAGAAACATGTCTCCCACCCCCAAGACTTTTTCAACGGGCTCTTTGCCCCCAAAAGTAAACTAATTATTCACTGAGCCCCCAAAACACAAAGCCCAAGAATTTTACACAGGTAAAGACTATAATACCCATTCTACCCATTCTCTCTTTCTCTCTAACCATGCAATCCGGCCCTCTGCTCTCCCTCCTCCTTCCCCCACCTCTCCACCCGCCGCTGCCGCCACCCTCCTCCTACCATCATCGCCTCCTCCGCCGTCGTCGCCGCCCCCAAAACCAACCTTCGCTGCCGATTGATCCACCGCGTTGATCGTTTCTTCGCCGGCGATCCTCGCAACCTTCGCTGCCAATTTAACCTCCCCGCAACAAAGATTCAGCGCCTTGGAGCTCCCCAGGGACACCACCAACAGATCCTCCGCCCCGTCGGTGAAGGGAAACTTCCTCTTATTAGTAAGCACGTGCGTGATTGTAGCTGCCGTCGGATTTCCCATCCCAATCCCCCCTCCCATCGCTTTGATGTTTAGAAAACATCAAAGCGATGTTAAAATTAGGGAAAAATGCTCCGTGAACCCAAATCCGTAAGATTAGAGACTTTTGTCATTTAACACTTTACGATTAGAGACTTTTGTCAATGAAGTTTGAACACAGAAAAGTACTTCTGCTTTGCCTATTACCATTTAGCATGGCCACACATCCACCACGAGCAAGGGAAATACTACGAATATAGAAAAGCTGGATAATGAACTTCCTTGTATGTTATATCATTCGTCCATAGTTCATGCTCAAAAATAAATAATTGATCCAAAATGATTACAGTATACACCGATAAACAAATAAGCAATAGAAGGCATGATTTTACTAGGACAAAAGGAGTTTGTGTTTGCTTTCCTATGGGTTTACTGGAAAATTAACGAACTTAGAGCTGATATTATTTGCAGGAAGTGTTTTCCCATAATTTTAATGAAATTTTCAAAAGTCAAGTGATTTACGTGTTGGTTGTTAAGTTTACGGGTTGCTTGTTAAAGTTACGCGTTGATTGTTAAGGTTACGGGTTGCTTGTTAAGGTTACGCGTTGCTTGTTAATGAAATTTTCAAAAGCCAAGCGATTTACGTGTTTGTTGTTAAGGTACGCGTTGAATTGTAAGGTTATACACACGTTGATTGTGATTGTTAACGGGTTGCTTGTTAAAGGTTAGCGGGTTGCTTGTTAAGGTTATAGCGTTGGTTTTGTTAACGGTTGATACGCGTCGGTTGTCTAAGGTTATACCCGCGTTGCTTGTTTAAGGTTACGGGTTGCATTTGTTAATGTTAACCGTAACCTTAACAAGCAACCTGTAACCTTAATAAACCACGTAGAACGCTTAACAAGCAACGTCGCGTAACCTTAACGAAACGACGCTATACGCTTAATCAACCACGCAACCGTTAACAACAACACAGGTAAATGCCGCTTGCTTTTGAAAATTTCATTAAAATTAGGGAAAAATGCTCTTGTGAACCCAAATCGTAAGATTAGAGATCATTTTGTCATTTAACACTTTACGATTAGAGACTTTTGTCAATGAATTTTGAACACAGAAAAGTACTCTGCTTTGCCTATTACCATTTAGCATGGCCACACATCCACCACGACAAGGGAAATACTAGCGAATATAGAAAAGCTGGATAATGAACTTCCTTGTATGTTATATCATTCGTCCATAGTTCATGCTCAAAAATAAATAATTGATCCAAAAATGATTACAGTATACACCGATAACAAATAAGCAATAGAAGGCATGATTTAACTAGGACAAAAGGCAGTTTGTGTTGCTTTCCTATGGGTTTACTGGAAAATTAAACGAACATAGAGCTGATATTATTTGCACAGGAAGTGGTTTTCCCATAATTTTAATGAAATTTTCAAAAGTCAAGTGATTTACGTGTTGGTTGTTAAGGTTACGGGTTGCTTGTTAAAGTTACGCGTTGATTGTTAAGGTTAGCGGTTGCTTGTTAAGGTTAGCGCGTTGCTTGTTAATGAAATTTTCAAAAGCCAAGCGATTTAACGGTGTTTGTTGTTAAAGGTTGCGCGTTGGTTGTTAAGTATCGTTGGTTTGTTTAAGGTTATACACGTTGATTGTGAATGTTACGAGTTGCTTGTTAAAGGTTAACGGGTTGCTTGTTAAGGTTACGCGTTGGTTGTTAAGGTTATACGCGTCGGTTGTTAAGGTTATACGCGTTGCTTGTTAAGGTTACGGGGTTGCTTGTTACTGTTAACCGTAACCTTAACAAGCAACCTGTAACCTTAATAAGGCCGAACGTATAACCTTAAGCAAGCAACCCATAACCTTAACACCGAACGCGTATAATCTTAAAACAACGCTAACCTTAACAACCAAACGTAAATCGCTTGGCTTTTGAAAATTTCATTAAAATTGGGAAAATGCTCTGTGAACGGTCCAAATTCGGTAAGATTAGAGACTTTGGTCAAAAAATTTAAGCACTTTACGATTAGAGACTTTTGTCAATGAAGTTTTGAACAAGAAAGTACTTCTGCTTTGCCTATTACCGTTTAGCAATGGCCACACATCCACGCACTGAGCAAGGGAAATTACTACGAAATATAGAAAAGCTGGATAATGACCTTCCTTGTTAACGTTCATACATTCGTCGCATAAGTTAATGCTCTAAAAAATAAATAATTTGATTCCACAAATGATTACAGTTTGTACACCGATGAAAGCAAATAGCAATAGAGGCATGATTTTATAGGCAAGAACTTAATTAAAAGGGAAAAAATGACCCTTAGGGAAGCACCTGCCTCACTTATGATCTTATTAGGTACGCTAATTAATAAAATAAACTAAGAAAAATCCCAAAAAAGAACTCCATGTTCTCCTTCCAAAACTCCCTGTTCTCGTAAACCTCCTTCTTCCAGATCGACACCGACGCCTTCACCTCGTTCGATCACAAACCGGCACGCCTCGATCGCGTCGGATCTGTGGACGGCTGATGTCGCGACGAATACGCTGGCCTTGCCGACGGGGACGGTGCCGAGGCGGTGGGAAACGGCGCCGCGGCGGGGGAGCGGACGTGGGCGGTGTCTTGGCGGGGTCCAGGTGGGGGGAGGTGGCGGGGTCCAGCTCTCTCCTCTGCACAAATAAAAAAAGGAAACAAAGGGTATTTTGGGAATATTTATGTTGGTTTTAAACAACATATCACGTGGGGGGTGTTTTGGGGGCTAGAAGAAAATCGCGCAAGTTTTTGGGGGCAAAGAGCCCGTTGAAAAAGTCTTGGGGGGTGGAAGCATGTTTCTTTTGGTTTTGGGGGCTGGAAGCATTTCCCCCTAAAAATAAATGTTTTTTAGCTATTTAAAATTTAAGAGGGTTCATATAGGACTGTACAATCCGTCGGTCGGTTCAGTTTTTGACCAAACCGAACCGAACCGAACCGCCTATCATTCAAAACCGAACCGAACGGATTCAAGTCAGTTCAATTCGGTTTGGGTCAGTTTGTTTGGTTTTCAATTGGGTATAAATGTTATGTCCGACTTTAATTTCACCTCTAATCTGTTGACGAAGAAAAAAGTCTCCTACACTTTAATTTATTAAAATTCATGAGCTATCAAATGCTACTGAATATTAGATATAGAAATTAAAATCTTATTCCTGCCAAAGCTTACATAATATTTTTTAGAGAATGCTTACATAAAGAATTAAAGTGATCTCAATCTTATAGACAAAGTAAATAAAAAAATTGTAATAATTTAGATGTTGGGTATAGTTTCTATAAAATTATAAGTCTGGTCCAAAGAGAAGTCTGATTAAAAGATTCTCTTGCTGTGTATCAACCGAGGAGAAAAATTAAGAAAAAGTTAGAATCAACATTATGGTTTAAGTTTCTTACCACCAAAATGGATTGGTTCAAAGTAGAAGAAGTGAATAGATAATAGAGAGAGGTAGAGAACTAGCGATGATGAGAAGCCCTAGCATTGGAGAGAACACCATTGTTGGGGTATTTCATCGCTATCAGGTAGCGTGAGAGAAAAAAATATCAACCTGTAGCGAAACAATTCTATATGAACTATGACGGGCCGGCTTTAAACGGATGCGAATAGTAATTAGAATGAGTAACACAATTCGGTCGGTTCGGGTGGTTCGGGCTTTAACCCGACCCGAATTCTAGTAAAAACTGAAACGAACTGTCAACTATGCTCAGTTGCTCTCCCCCAGGTTCATCGGTTTGCGGGTCGGGTATACGTTACAAAGATCGGATCTTAACCTCTACCCATACTTCGGTCTTTGTATCACGTGACGTCTCCACCACCGTCGCCTCCTCCGCCTTCGCCGTCTCTCTAAAACCCTCGCTATCCCCCTCCAAACTTAAACCCTGGTTTCTCTATTCATCGTCGAGAGAGAATACAGCAAAATGGCGGGAATTGGGCTCTGCTGGAGCTCGAATCTCACTCTACCCCCAATTTCAGAGAAGCCTGCTCGCTCAATTCGCAGAGTCTCCGCTGCTTTGATAAAGAATTCCTCCTCCGTTGAAGAGAAGAAGACATCCTTATCGATTAAGAAGTCCGAAGGAATCTTTAACGCTGCCAAGGTCCTCACTTTCCTCCAATTTTGAATTTTTTTTAATCTTCCTATATGCTGGTTGAATGTTGGATAGAGTTCTACCGGGTGATTTAGTTTGGTAATGGGATGGTTAGAGGCTATTGTGGCTAATAGAGTTTGAAATTTGAGATGCGCTGTGATTAATTTGTTTTGCTGCATTGTTCGAAGAGAATCGTGGGATTTTGATCCAAAAACATATGCCAAATTGACAATTTATACTGGGTTGCATGCATTTTCTTTGAGTATTTCATAGTTACAAGAGCAGTGAAGTACATACCTTGTTCAAAGAACTCGATGATATCTCCTCTCCATGCTCTCATGCTTGCTTTTAGTCTATAATATATAGAGGCTTTTTTTTAACTCGCTTATGCAATTTTTGGTCTATTTTCTTTTGAATCCCAAGGACTACTCCATGTATATTGCTTTATCCACATTGCATCGGAGGAAGACAATGCATTGACTTGTTCACTTGCTTCGAGAGCTCAAGTTTATGAGAAAGAAAGCTAGCTAATTTATTTACCTATATTTATCCACACAAGGCTTCTGATTAGGCTCTCCAACTTTTCAATGAAGCTAATCAACTTTTAGGTTGCATCTTTTTTCAAACATTGTAGCCAGGTTGGATATGCGTGTGTACAGTTAGCATATTACATATTTGTGTGTAAATAGCATATGCTTATGTTTGCAGCATGTGTGTGTGTTTTTGTTTGTTTGTCTTCGTGTCTCTGTGAATGTGTATATGTACATGGAGTTATGTGTGTGTGTGTGTGTGTGTGTGCATGTGTTGTGTGTATATATAGCACATGTAGGGGCGGAGGCACCTATTTAGGGGTGGTAAACGAACAAATCGAATCAAATATCACAATATTCGAATTCGAATTCGGTTCATATTGTGATGTTCGAATTCGTGTTCGAATTTGACTCGAATACTAAGTTGAATTCGAATTCTATTCGTTTATCTACACAACCATTTGCTAACTATTCGTTAATATTCGATTAAGGATCCCCAGAATCTCATTGTCATACCTGGAGAGACCTTCCGCTTGTCGATGCGGAAGAATCGTGAAAGCTCGGAAGTGATGTTCTCGTCGCCAGCACCTTCTAATCAGCGGCCCGCCCCGTCGAATGCGAGATGAAGAGAAAGAGGCGTGAGTTGCTGTTGAGTTATTATTATTGGGGCAGAAAGAAAACCCTAGCTTGTTGAGTTATAATTTGGGTTACATGGGCCTAGAATTGGGTGGATCTATTAAAATGGGTCTATCTAGTAACTGATCTGTTGGGTCCAAACTACTAGTTATGTACATGATAGCCCAACCTATTACCTTATTACATGGATTTAAATGTGTACAAAAAAGTTTTGTAATGAATGAAATTTGTAACAAATAATATTGTTTATATAAGATAAATTATAAAATATAAATCAATAATTATTAATCAACCAATTCGAATATACATTTGGTTAAATTCTATTTGTTTATAAGCAGAATATTGAAAACTATTCGTTTACTATTAAATGAACTAACAGATCGAATATGATCAAATATCTGGACAAATACTTAACCAAACTGTTTATTAATTATTTGGTTCACTTCCACCCCTACTCCTGTTAGAGGGTGGTGTCAAGTGACACCACTTATTAGGTAAAAAAACAAAGTAATATATACTAGATTATCATCAAATAGTGACACCATTATAAAAGTAATTATTGATTAATGGCCCATTTAATAAATGTTGTGTATCTAATTGATATATATTCAAGAAATATTGTGTGTCCAATTACAACGGCTTCAATGGAGATATTGTTTTGAAAAATTGTAAAAAATCATCTGTGAAATCAAATAGGAGATTAGTGGATGAACGGCAACTTGGTAATTCTTATTGAAAGGGGTGCATTTAGTGGTATTTCGAAGTAGGCTGTAATGCAACAATCTCAAAAGATGAAGACACGTGAGGACCATTGTAATTGTACTTACTTAAATATATCTTTCATATCTCATTAAACTTCCAAATTATATCGTATAAGAGAGAAAAATTAGTAACATCACCTTTTTATATATATTGTGACACACTGTTAAGAATTTCTGGCTCGGCCACTGAGCATATGTATCTGTATATGTGTGTTGCGTGTGTGTGTACAGTAGTCGCATATTACATAATCGTGTGCAAGTATGTTATGCTTATGCTTGCAGCATGCGCGCGCGTATGTATGTTGTTTACATGCAGTTATGTTTGTTCGCATTTTTTTGTATGTGCATTTGTAAGTAGCGTATGTTTATCTACATGCATGCATTAGTGTTTGTGTGTGCTCAAGTAGCGTATGTATGCATGTTTTTATGTGTAGCACATGTATATATACATGCATTAATATAATTATTAATATAATTATATGTGTACATGTGTATGCATTTGTATCATGTGAATATATATGTTTGTGCGCATGTACATTTGCATTCCGGTGAATAACATGTGACTGTATGTACTAGTGTGGGTGTCATGTGTAGGTGCGCATGTGTGCGTTGCACATATGTGTGCATGCTGTCTGTATGTGTGCGCATAAACTACAATGATAGCCTCATTAGTTACATTTTTCATAGTTTCTCATCTTATCAAATCATCTCAGTTAGAAAATAATTATTTTCTTACATGTTTATTGCACGTGTATTTTAGTTAGTATCGATTCAAGGAATACAGAGTGAGATCTAAGCTTGATTTCTTTCATTTAACACTCCTGTTGATTCACCAAAGGGGCAAGCCTTTCTCTCACCTGGTTGATGAAGTCTTGGATAATTTATGGTTTTGATGTTTCTTTTTGATTTAGGAGACAGTAGGGCATCTTAAAGGTATCAAATGGAGCGACTTCTGGACTTTGAACAGTTGGGTGGTTCGCGATTACTACCGTCTTGTATCTTCGGTTAACGCTCTTGAGCCACAGCTTCGTCGGCTTTCGGACGAACAGGTCAGTAGTAATTTAAAATAAAAATGATGAATTTGAGTCGAAATGGCTCATTTTGATGAATATATTTGGGATTTGATGTATGGGCTGTATGATTTTCAGTTGAGAGCAAAGACTGTCGAGTTTCGTCTTCGGTTGAGTAGAGGGGAGACCCTTGCCGATTTGCAAGCTGGTCTTATACTTACCTGTGCTTGAACCTAGAAGTTCATTTTTCCATTTTGATGAAAAGCTGAAATTTTATTTTCTTTAGAGGCATTTTCTGTTGTTCGTGAAGCTGCCAGAAGGACACTTGGCATGAGGCATTTTGATGTTCAGGTACACTGAAAAATTCAATATAAAACAACAAAATATTGTTAAGAAGTTTGTATGCGTTCATGGTTTTTTTTGATTTCAGATCATTGGCGGAGCAGTGCTCCATGATGGGTGCATAGCTGAGATGAAGACTGGGGAGGGGAAAACACTTGTTTCTACATTAGCTGCTTATCTCAATGCACTCACAGGAAATGGTGTTCATGGTATGACTTGATTTCGTGGTAACCAAATGATTTTTTACGCCCTCTATTTAACATTGGAAGTGTATGAAGAAGTTCTGTAAACCTCATTAGCCATTTCAGGAAATATTAGGATTTGGCCAACAATAACACCATTAGTAGCAAGGAATAAGGTAATGACTAAAATATATTGGTTTCAGCTTGTATCATTTCAGTTTAGGTTATAACAATGCGAAATATGCTATACGAACTTGGTTTTGGGGGATATGCTTCAGTTTGAGACATGTTTAGGTGAATACCTGCCATGTTTTGAGTTTTATTGGCTATTTTGCCCTGTATCAGCCATCTTAAGGTGGGGTTGACCTGTTTGTTTTGTCAAGTTATGGGCATGTTTCAGCCAGTTTTATCAGAAATAGGCTGAAACATGCGCACACTTGCCTAGACACAGCTAAAAAAATTGATAAAAGAACAACTCTAGTGTCAGAGGCCAAAGCCCACTTCTCAAGATTGTTGCTAGTTTTATTGTAAGTTCGTAACAGAATGAGATTTTAATGCTTCATGATGTAAATACTTAATTTTTACAAATGCATGCTAAAACTTATAAATTTTATGTCTACATAGCTTTGTGCTCAAACCCTTTGCTCCTTTTAAAATGCTTGCATAGTGGACCTCCAAGCCACCCTCCTCTTTATGGACGAGTTAGTTAGAATAATCTACAATCATTTGAAATGTTAGGAGATTATTTCATAATTTAAGCATGGAAAGCTTATTAGTTAGAATAATCTACAATCATTTGAAATGTTAGGAGATTATTTCATAATTTAAGCATGGAAAGCTTTATGCAAGATGGATATTCAGTGTTTTAGAAATGTTAGGAGATTATTTCATAATTTAAGCATGGAAAGCTTTATGCAAGATGGATATTCAGTGTTTTACACTTTATGGATACCTCTTGTTTGGCATAGGTTCATTTACAAATAGTTTTCTGAGTCTTTTGTATCACATATGTTACATGGTGCTCTCATTGTTATTTAGTTGCTTACACTTTTTTGTGCAGTCAATTGATATTTCTTTTTATTCTTTTGGCATCAGTTTAATTTAAGTTATTTTCATTTCATAGTGGTGACTGTTAATGATTATTTGGCACAACGTTTGGCATCAGTTTAATTTAAGTTATTTTCATTTCATAGTGGTGACTGTTAATGATTATTTGGCACAACGTGATGCTGAGTGGATGGGTCAAATTCATTCATTTCATAGTGGTGACTGTTAATGATTATTTGGCACAACGTGATGCTGAGTGGATGGGTCAAATTCATCGCTTCCTTGGCCTTTCTGTTGGTCTCATACAGGTAAGCTGCAGTTTTATGGGTACCTGTCATCTTAGGTTTGATCCCTCTACCTAGTTGAACTAAGTTGGCAAACTATGTACAAATTTTCTTGCCAAGAAACATTGTCATTGACTTTGTTTAAACATTGTTTAATTGTAGAGGGGCATGGATGCTGCTGAGAGAAGATCCAACTATAATTGTGACATAACATATACAAACAATTCGGTATGTTCCTGATACTCATGATTTTCACCTTAGTTAAAAAATGTTTTCCAAGATAGTCATTGAATTGGCATCCATATTTATTTGCACCTGTGCACATATCTATTGTTACTATCATTTGCTTGATCTTCGTTCAATATGTTTTATGTTTTTGGCTCAATGAAGAGGATATATGTTGTCTGAATCTATAATTGTAACATGTTGTATGCAGACAAGCTGCTAATGCACATGAATTTCACCTTGGGTTTTATCTGTTTTTTAAGATACTTTATTAAATTTCTTTTGACATTTATGTTTGTATCACATAGGCATATGCGTGGATTGTAACATTTGCTTGGTCTTCCTTCAGAAATTATACATGCATGTTTTTTGTCTTAATAAAAACTATATTTGTACTCCTGCAGCTTTTTGTGTTATTGTCAGCGTTGAATCTTTTTGACCTCGCATTATTATTCCTGTTATGCAGGAACTCGGGTTTGATTATCTCCGTGACAATCTTTCTGGAAGTAGAGGACAACTTGTCATGAGATGGTACATTCACAAGCATTCGAAATATTCATTCCATTCCTTTTACACTTTTAACCCCCCCACCCCCTACCCCTGCAACACTGCACCCTGCGCTTTTAGTCATAGGACTCAAACTAAGTAGAACGCTGAAACAGGCCAAAGCCATTCAATTTTGCAATAGTTGATGAAGTTGATTCAGTCCTTATCGATGAGGGCAGAAATCCATTGTTGATTAGTGGTGAGGTAATAGTGTTTATTTGATCTCATTATCAAAGACTTATGTTTACGAGGTGTGCTAATTCTGTTGTCTCTTAAAATTCTTTGCAGGCTAGTCAGGATGCCGCACGGTATCCGGTAGCTGCCAAGGTAGCTGAGCTGCTTGAGCGGGGCATTGTAAGTGTAGTAGAGACTTGGTTGTTGATTAATCGAAATTGCGGTTCAATATTCTTTACTATTTCCCCATAATTCTGCATTTTGGAGGGGAGATGACCATGCCTTTTCTTTTGGTGGATGGATGGTTTTGTTTTTGAGGTGTGGGAATGGGATTTGGTTAAGGGGACTTGTAATTGTTTCTAACACTTTTCATGCTATGAAATGTCTTCGTCACAGCATTACAATGTAGAGCTTAAAGACAACTCTGTGGACTTGACGGAGGAAGGAGTTGCTTTGGCTGAGATGGTTCTTGAAACAAATGATCTATGGGATGAAAATGATCCCTGGGCCAGGTGCCTGTTATATCTATGATTTAGATTTTTATTTTGTTTGCTAGTCTCAGCATTATGATTATTTCATCTGCATCTTTTTCTTTTTTAGTCAGTAAATAGTGAGGCAAATAGATCTCTGTTGCTCATTTATGGAGATTTATTTGCTGTGACTTGTAGATGAGGGCTTCGCTTTACATAATTTTTGTTTAACTTGATGTAAAACTTGCTGGTTGTGTTATTTGTGAGAATGAGTAGATAGAGTGTTCTTTTCAGGTTTTTAATGAATGCCTTAAAGGCGAAAGAGTTCTACCGCCGTGATGTCCAATACATTGTTAGAAATGGGAAGGCATTCATTATCAATGAGGTAAATGCTTATAATGTAATCTAGCTTAATGTGTTGTATCCTTATTTATGTATTGCATGTCTAATACTGTCTTATATATAATATAATTAGTTCAGCAATCATCAAAAACTGTGTGCAGTTTCGAATTTTTGTAGTAATGCTGATCTAAGATATGATCTTTTACTTATGCAGTAGAATGGTCATACATTCGCTTTATAAATTGGACACATGCTATGGTAGCAATAGGCATTCAGGGATATTGAAAATTATGTCATTATTAGGACTGCAATTATTATAGCTGAGAAAGTATTGTGGTCTTTCTACAAAAATGATGTCAGTTTTACTTTTTCTGTTGAACATTCTATGTGCGGAGAAATGTAATTGAAACAATTATGGATATTTAAGTCTTCAACAGTATTTTGCTGGATATGTGGTGCGAGTCTAAATCCACATGGTTCTTTGTCCTTGTTTTATGGGTAAAGTTTCTACAATTGTCAACTTAATATTAGCTGTTCTACTTGGTTCCAAACTTCCAAGGCATAGATGAGGAAATCTGTGAGCCACACAGGGTTTTTTTTTTTGGTTGTGGAGTGGGGGGGTGGGGTGGGGTGGGGGTGGGGTCGGGGATGGCGGTGGGGGCGTTAGTGAGGGGGTGGTTTTTTGTGATAAATATTGAAGGTGTGTAGGTCAGTAGGAAACCATCATTGCTTCTTGTTTTAAGCTCTCATGAGAAGCAACCCTCCAAGTTCTCCTAAGTTACAAGATAATATACATATATAAATGGAAAGATGCTTTTTTAACCAAATTGAAAAAACAATAAAAATGGCTCTGAGGAGCTGAACTCATTCCTGACAGGGGATAGCCAATGGTAAGAGCTAAATTGAGGCATATCACATGTGAGGAAAACCAAGCATGCTTCCTTCTCTAACTGATCAAAGCTTTTACTTCTGCAGCTTACAGGGAGAGTAGAAGAGAAGAGGAGATGGTCTGAAGGTATTCATCAAGCAGTTGAAGCTAAAGAAGGCCTAAAAATTCAGGTAATTCTTACGTATGAGTTTTAAATTTCCAATAAAGAAAACTTTAAAGAGGAGGATTTTGAAGCTTTAAGTGACAGTTTATGTTTTATTCTCACTTATTTTTAATATAATGTTCTCAGGCTGATTCAGTTGTTGTGGCTCAAATAACATACCAATCACTGTTCAAGCTCTACCCAAAGCTTTCAGGAATGACAGGAACTGCTAAAACAGAAGTATGATGAAACGTTGATGTGCTAATGGTATTCATTTTTCTGTTTACTTTCAGAATACTTTACCAATTGGATGCGGCTACATGTACATGCAGGAAAAGGAATTTTTGAAAATGTTTCAAATGCCGGTTATTGAAGTTCCCACAAATTTACCAAATATTCGCCAGGACTTGCCTATTCAAGCTTTTGCAGTATGTTTTTTAATAAGCATTATGGAGTAAAATAGAACTCTTGTTTCTTCTTTTTGTTTCCCATGTGGCCATGCAGATTCACTACTTGCTATTGTTTAAATGATGTTTCAGACTGCACGTGGAAAGTGGGAATATGTCCGAGAAGAAGTTGAATATATGTTTAGGCTGGGTCGTCCTGTTCTAGTTGGAACCACAAGGTAATACCATCCTCATCATCTGACTCATTCCTCATCATCTGACTCATAGTGGTTACTACCCTGGTTTACATTAGAAGTAAATTGGTTCAGAAATCTTATGTCTGATATTCAGGTTGGATTAACATATACAGAAAATGTGATGCACGAATAGCTTGTAAATGTAAAACCTTTCATCATCAAATCCAAAGTTCAAATGTCAACCTCCATGTCATTAATGGGAAAAGGGTCCAAAACTCGAATACAATCCCTATATCGCTAAAAGAACCAACTTAGCCTTTATTTCTTCAAAAGCAACAGCTAGAAGCTCAAATGTCAACCTCCAAAGAATTGAGCATAGAGAAAAATGAAGCAACATTCATTTAGGACTTATGTTCGAAGTTCTATCTGAATCATATTAGTTTAATAAGGATACTTCTAAGTTTTGTTTCTTATCTAAATTCCATTTATGTCTTATTTGTCAACTGTGTGTATGCCCTAGGTTAAGTGATGTGGGACATCACATCTATTGTTTGGAAGATCACTCAAGAAGAAAAAGAGTGAATTATTAGCATATACAGTAAAAATACTAAAAAAAGTTGCATATATAGTAACCACAAAAAAATGATTCTCTTGGATAGGCCATAGAATTACTCGGTCGTTGATTTTCTTGTATACAAATTGAATGATTAAGAAAGGGAAATAACATTTGGATGAGGTCATTAACAAGAGCATCCTTTCAGATTTTGTCAATAACAAACTATTATGCATATAACTAATACCAAACTGATGAGATAAGGCTTCTCTATTTGTCAATCTTCTTTTTCCATGTATCAAGTACGCTCGCAAAGATAGTGTCATTTTCTATTCAAAGATGAAGTTGTTTTTCTCTCATGTTTTCTCTTTGTTGGTTCTTTACACTATGTTTACCTTACAACTTCCTGCCATCTTCTATTATAGTGTGGAGAACTCTGAGTATCTATCGGATCTTTTGACAGACAGGAGAATTCCTCACAACGTTCTCAATGCAAGGCCGAAGGTGCTCTGATCATGTCTGTCTTTGAGTGTATTTCTCATTAAAAAATTTGTTTCTATCATATTTCAAGATGTTACTGACATACTCTTAATATTTTTGCAGTATGCTGCTAGAGAGGCTGAAATTATTGCCCAAGCCGGTCGAAAATATGGCATAACCATATCTACGAACATGGCTGGCAGAGGCACTGATATAATCTTGGGCGGAAACCCTAAGGTATCCTTGCTCTTAAGAATACTTGCTTTTGTAGTTTTCCTAATCACATTTACCCCATATGGCTTTTGTCATCTTTAGCTCCTAGCATTTTTATCAGCTAGGCAATGCCTGAAAGATCATTGTATATTGTGATTTGGTCATTGCACAATATCTAGTAAAAGAGTATCTAGTACACATAATTATATAATTTGGCAAGTTGTTTATGGAACCTCTCAAGTCTCAACTATATCTTGTCTAGCACCTATGCCCCGCACTTTTAGCACATTGCACCTCTGACTTTTTTGAGGGATTAACACTGTCAACTTCCCATCCATATGTTATTATAAGTTCAAATCCGGCTCCACCCGCTTCTTTCCTGAGGATAGTTGTGGAAATTAAAATTGTTACATGCATTACATGTCACCTTTGCGGATGGAATAGTGTAGGTGTATTATGTGGTAAAACGCTAGTCGATAGGGCACAAATATTTGGCGGGATGTAGTTGAGGGTGTTATAGCAATTTACCCCATACAATAATCTACTTTTGTTTATGTTAATTGTTGTGAAGTTTATACTTTTGTTGTCGCATGTTCCACCTTCAACTCTTTTGTAGTTATTTACTTATTAACATATCGTGTCTCAAGATGCTTGCCAAAGAAGTTATAGAGGACAACCTTCTCTCATTCATGTCCCAGGAGGTGCCGAATATCGAAACATATGGGGAACCAATCTCGCAAAAGGTGCTTGTTTATTTTCCAGTAATGAAACAGGCTTTCACTTTTCGGTACAAATGAAATGTGTATCTAAATGTTATGTTGATTTTGGACATAGGGTTTTTCAAAGATAAAGTTAGGGCCATCCTCATTAGGGTTGCTCTCAAAGATTGCACTCATGGGTCTGTATCCTTTTTTTGTTATCCTAAATGATTATTTACAACTTTTTGGCTCAAATCTACAATCTTCCTTTTTCTTTTTTGTTCCTCAGAAAGTTCTTTGAATTGATTTTATATGTTGTTTTCTGAAACGTTTCAGCAAAGTACGTATGCAAGAGCGAAGGAAATGGTTGGTCATATGAGAAAGCAAAATCTGTTATTACAGAGTCTATACAAATGAGTCAATCACTTGGAACTGAAGAACTTGAAAAAATATTAACTAGGGAGTCAGAAATATATCCTCTTCGTCCGGCAATAGCACGTGCTTATCATTCAGTCCTTAAGGACTGTGAGGCACACTGTTATAATGAAGGGGCTGAAGTAAAACGTTTGGGTGGACTGCATGTGATTGGGACATCTTTACATGAGTCTCGACGTATAGATAATCAGGTGAATTTTTCCATTTCATAATCACCAAAACTAAATGTTATAAGTAAACTATTTTTGATATTTTGCAAACAGTTTGTGACATATTTCTTGGCAATCTTATAACTTGTTGCTGGCAAAGAAGATAAACTAGGATTTTCTTGAGCTTCTAGTTTTGACATGCAGCTTACTTCTAAATGACCTGTATTCCTAGTTAAGCTCATAGCAGTCACTTTCCTTTCTTTTTTGCAAGTCTGTATTCATTTAGTTATTAGATGTTGCTTAGAAGCATTCCTTCCACTTGTAGATGATCATATTATGTCATATTTCCTGTATCATTGTATGCTATGTGTGTTAGGACTCCTGAGGAATCCCGGGTTAAATTTCCCTGGTATGAGCATACGAAAGTTGAATATGACTGCATGTATCTGCAGAACTCTAATACAAAATGGGATATGACCAGTAGGTTTCCCTGTCCATCACTTCTAAATGTGGTGATCTACCTAAATGTGGTGATCTTCCTTCGCACTTTGATAAAGAACTACAACCTAGAATTTTTCATTGTTTACCTCTGGCTATTGCTTGTGATCATATGTGATAGTCTACATGACAAGCCTCTGGATCCTTGTTATTGGTTGTTTTCCCCCCTAAGTTGTATTGCACCTGGAGTCTCATTCCAGACTAGGACGAGCAGGTGCTTCGGGATAGCAGTTCCTTCAGTTTGACAGTCTTCATGAAATAAACTTGACTAGCTCTAAGTTACTACTACCTTTTGCACAATATGTACATGATAGCTTTATTTCATGGGCGTAAGTGGTAATTTTTTACGCTAATTCTCTGCTTTGTTGAACTTTTTATGATGTTTGATCATATGGATCTCTGATTTGAGCACTTAGATGTCTCTTGATGACAAAATTGATAATTCTGGGTCATAAAATTAATCTCTTCCAGTCTCATTTTCCTCATTGTCACACTTGTTTAATGATAATGTTGGTTGGAATGTTGGATTGTGGTTTTCATTGTTGTCCTACTTTGTCTGTGTACAAGATGGATAATTAACTCAAAGTTGATTATTTTTGGTTCTTTAATGGAGTTCAGAAATATTTAGATTGTTAGTCTTGGTCAACTTGAAATCTCATTTTCAAAGTATCCTCCAACCGTCACTGTGTCTGTTTGCTTTATCATATTGCCAGTTCCATATTTATCTTTGGAGCATCTGTCACTTGGAACCTTCTTTTTCCACAGTTAAGGGGGAGAGCTGGCAGACAAGGTGATCCTGGATCAACAAGGTTTATGGTGAGGTAATATTTAATCTTGAACATGACCACCTCCTTTCCATATTCATGTTGACTAAAATTTGATGGTACTCCTGAATTTGGTAATGAACAATTAGGATGTAGTAATGCTCCAGAGAGGTGATTTAATATGGTTCAAACCACCTTTGGTGGAATGTTTGAGTGAATATTGAAGGTGCCTTTAATGAATTGAACACCAGGCAAAGGAAAAAAGAATAAAACCTTAAAGGTAGGGATAATGACTTGTGGAAGTGTGATGTTAATTTCTACCATTGAAGAGTTCAAGCTATATTTCTATTTAGCAATATGTGTACTTCTTTCATGAATATGTGATCTTGCCAAAGAGGTGTGTCAGATAGCTGACACTGCTGAGACACTTGGGCATGTGCCTTACGCTTCTCAAATCTATACTCCATTACGCAATACATACCTTAGTTAAAAACACTCGTTGGGCACGTCATATACATGTCTTGTAATTCTTCTTTCTTACTCCTACATGTTAAAGCTATTTATTTATTTTCACATATATAGTAAAAATTACATATTTAGCATAATCCTTTTTTTTTGCAGTACGTATTGTAGGTACCATATTAAAATCCAGATGATTAGATGTGATCTAATGCCTATCAACCCTCTAAAAACTTTGAAGATTTACTTGACTAAAACATCAGCACTTTAGAAATGTACAAATCCTTAATGTTTACCCACTTTGATGCATGGGTAAAGTATGCTGAAAATTTTGAAACTGTGCTTCTGGATAGTTGACATGTAGCATATCACATCCAATGGTTTGGATTTTTTTAGTTTGGAGGTTGCATCTTGCGGTTCAGAAATGGAAGTATGTGATTCCCCATATTTCTGAGAGTAGCCTTGGTCGACTCTCTGTCTCTCTTTGCACATGCGCTTACATGTACACATACACCAATACATGCATAGGTTCACACATGCACACATCGCGCAGCACATGCTTGCGCACTTGCACACGAACACTCAGACACATTACTGTTATATAATTCGGATTGCCATTGCTTCAGTCTGTCCATCCATCTCATATATGTATGTATGTATGTATGTAGTATATACAATATATCGATATGTGTCTGTGAACACGCTCCCTTCTAAATGAGCATGGATTGTGTTTTCTTTTAGCATGACTATAATCTAATGGTCTAGAAAATAGAAGTATAAATTCCTATATTTCATCCTTTGGTTCCTTTGCTTATGCATTACATGGTTTCTGTTCTATGTTGTAACAGTTTGCAGGATGAAATGTTTCAGAAATTTAATTTTGATACTGAGTGGGCAGTGAAACTTATATCAAAGATAACAAATAACGAGGACCTACCCATTGAGGGACATGCTATAGTAAAGCAGGTATTCTTCAGTGATTACCACTTGTTATGCACATTTTTCTTACAATTTCATATAGAGCTCTCTTTCTGATATTTTTTTCATTTACACACATGCAGCTTTTGGCCCTTCAAATAAATGCAGAAAAGTATTATTTTGGTATAAGGAAAAGCCTTGTTGAATTTGATGAAGTCTTGGAGGTTCGCATGCTATGTTCATTGGGTCATTTTTTGTATTCAATATTTTTTTTCTCTGCAATTATCTGCAGTTTATTTCCATATTTTGAACTATTAATTTTATATGAGCCAATATATTGTACTTGTATTGGCTGGACAGAGGCTATGCCTTGCCTGTACTTGGATGACTGGAAAGTGAACCTTGTGTAGTAGAGTGGCAGAATGCATTTACCTTAGCTGCAATGAACTTGAAGTAGCTGATTGCAAGGGAAGAAAAGTAGATGCCATTGGTAGCAAAATAATAGTTTTCCTGGATGGTTAAACTTGCATCTAAGCATCTTTCTACATTTCTTTGAAAAATGAAAATGAACTTTGGTTAATGATTCGGTTAAAACAATACTTCAAATAGGAAATATGATAACAGTAAAAGTGTAAAACATCATTTCCAGTTATGAGCTTGTTTAGCCTGAGAAAAAGCTATAAAGTGATACCCACAGCATGCAGTGCTGTTTGGAAGAAAATCACCTGATAAGTATATGTCTTACGATAACATGCTGCCATTATCTGGATGATCACAGTAAAACAGCATTTCCGGTTATGAGCTTGTTTAGCCTGAGAAAAAGCCATAAGTGATACCCACAGCATGCAGTGCTGTTTGGAAGAGAATCACCTGATAAAAGTATATGTCTTGTGAGAACATGCTGCCATTATCTGGAGGATCACAGTAAAACAGCATTTCCAGTTATGAGCTTTGTTTAGCCTGAGAAAAAGCCATAAGTGATACCTGTTGCTTTTCATGGAATTATTTTTTGTTTGGGATGGTCTTTCGAAATGACTCAAATGACTATGAAATGAGTAGTTATCTTGTCGAAGAAAGCGGTGAGTTGATGTTTAGTTGGCACAGTACAAGAATATATCTTAAACTACAGAATGACTCCTAATTCAGTTGTCTGAAGTGGGTTTCAGAAGACTGTCTTTAAATTAGCTAGTGAAGTGTACTTGTTATGCTAGTTGCTTCTGTATCGATGTAACTAATACCAGTAACCTTATTCTTTATTGACGAGTGTCTGATTGTCGTCCACTCATATCTTTCTTTTTTGTTCAAAAACTGTGTTTTGTGTAGTATATTGTGATCTATTATCACCTGATATATTAGGTTGCTTTACTGCAGGTCCAAAGGAAGCATGTCTATGACCTTAGGCAATCCATTCTGACGGGTAACTCTGAAAGAATTTGCGAACACATATTTCAGTACGTTTACGAACTCTAACCGTTTTTACAGCACCAAGTAATGCATTTATTGAAGAAATACTGACTTCTATAGTGTTATTGCAATTCTAAATTCATGTTCTTGCATGAGTCTGCTTTTCTATGTTTTAAATTTCTTGATATGCCATCTGATACCTATAAGATGGCTAAAACTGATGTTTAGTGCACGTGCTATCACTGATCTTATGCTATAATGAGTAGGTATATAATTCAAGCAGAAAGTTTCCGATTCTAATTCGTTCATTCTCTTGGAGAGATTTTGTACAATTGCCATGTTTCCATGATTCTTCCACTAGATTCTTCCCTCCCTAATTCTCTAACTGCTTGAAGATGTTGCATCAAAGATGATATATTGGGTCATAGATTGATTATGGAATTCTGATTTGCTTCTTGCAGCCTTTTCCCTTAGTTTTACTTGTATTTCCCCCCTCAAAGGTTCTCTACTTATTTGTTCTTTCTCTCTCCCTTCCTATACCCTTGATTATTTCTGACATCTTCCAGATATGTATTGCCTTGTGCTGCCAGCTTAACTTTAGAAACTCTTTTGGTGGTACTTGTTTCTTTAAAGCTGAAAGCAAGGATCTAGATGAGTATGACAACCATTTAAGAACCAGTTATTTGGCCTCTCTGTGGTTAATTGTGATGGAAAATTTACAGCGGAGCTATCATATCGTCATTAGAAAATCAAGACAAGCTAGATAGATGTATGAAAATTTTCTTGTTGATCCTGCATCAACAGGGACAAAAGGTTAGTCACCAAAACATAAAAGGTTCATAAGTAGTTGATGAGGGACTAGTGGAGGGCTTCCATATTATCATGTCTTCGGACTGTGAAATCACCCATATTCACTGAAAGAGGACTGGTTTGTTTGTCTCTTTTGGAGCTTGTTAGGTTCAGTGAAGGAGAGTTTTGGGCTGAACTGATTTGGGTTGACGGCTGAATACTGATGGTCATTCTTTTGATGATTTGCGATGGCTAGGAGGAGAGTGAAGAGGGTGTTAAGTGGGGGATTTTCAGGACTGTTCTGCAGTTTCCTGCTGTAGGAAATTAGAGAGAAATAGGCGTTGTTTGCGTGTGGGATCCAGCTGCAGGAACAAAGACAGAGGGAATTGGGGGTTAATTGAATGGTTGGATTTGCAAAGAGGAGAGGTTTTGATAAAGGGCTTCACACCCTGCTTAGGAATAGTCTTCACACCTAGGGGCCTCACACACATGGCTTCACACGATTAGCAATTCACATGCAAGTTTCATATATCAAAATTTTTTATTAATCAAGTCTGCCTTCTCAATGAGGCTTACATCTTTATTTATAGAAAACAAAAGACAACTTTTAAGGAAACAAGATAAAATCAAATCTCAAAGAACCTAACGTCCAATCCTAAGGAACTAAAATAAATACCTAACAAAATCAAATCTCAAAGATCCCTAAAAATCCTAACATAAAATCTTAAGAAATTCCTGATTAAAATGAAAAGATTACATTAAAAATTTCTTAAAGAAAAAAAGTGAACAAATCCTAATAAAATCTTAGTCAAATCTTAATTAAATCTTCTACAGGATTCAGATATGGACCTGTCCTGCATCAAATCTAGAAGCACACGACTATACTAAATGCCCTCCAATGAGCAGAGAAAATAGAATACGACTCGAAGTTCATATCTACAACCTTCCAATGAGTAGGATGAAGTAGATCATTTCTTCTTGTTGCAATAGAAGAAAAATACCTCTTGCCAAACTGTGCTTGCATTTTTTATTGCACACGACTTTCCCTGTGTATGCATTTACAATTAAAATACATATTATAAAACTACTATGCTGATTCCAAGAATTTACTTGTTGGTTGTATCATCAAATGAACACTGTCTGAACTGAAAAAAATTATGAAACTGAAAGCCAGAGGGAGATGATGATTTAGTTATGTATAGGTGTTGACAATTAGTTTCACACGGACAGAAAATAGGCTGAAAATTTTGTGTTTGATTGTATACATGTATATGGGGCTTTAATAAAAATTTTCAAATGCATATGGTAATTTTATATGTTATATACTGTAGGATTATGGCTTTTTGGCTTTTACATATTGCTTAAACAATTATGGAACTTGGAATTCTATAATACAAAGTTGCAGTCAGTTTGATGACAGGACTTAATTTCCAGAATAGCGATTTAAACTTTCAGATTTCCCTAGTCTATCACTCTCCTGTGTTTTGGTGATAAAAGCGCACTTGATAGGTACATGCAGGCAGTGGTTGATGAAATTGTCTTTGGAAATGTTGATTCCCTCAAGGTATCTAAATTCTTCATATATGCTGTAGGGGACATACTATATGTTTTCATGTATTGTGCATAATGTGCTCTTTTCTGTTTTGCAGCATCCAAGTGCATGGAATCTGGGAAAGCTCTTGAATGAATTTGTTGAAATTGGTGGAAGATTATTGGCTGGTAACTGAAATGTTTCAGAAAGCATCTCGCTGTTCTAATATACTGCCACCAAATTCTTATAGAATCATGCTTTGTGCTCTTCTTTCTACTATTTCAAAATGGGCAAGCATCTAACTTTGAGTTAACAGAACCATTTGCAGATGTCAGGGAAGAGGCTTTATTATTGTCACTTGAACAGATACATGGCCTAAGCTCTATAAATGTTGACAAGTTCTCCCTTCCAAATTTTCCAGTACCTCCTAATACATTTAGGGGTATTCGCAAGAAAAATTCTTCTTTGAAACGTTGGTTTATCATCTGTTCTGATGATACCACAAGGTAAATCCCTGCTTGACTTTTTTTTAATGTTCTAATCTGTGTACATTCTGATTGCAAGTACTGTGCTGTACGATAGGAGGGGAAAATACACAGGATCTGTCAGTCTACTTCGCAAATACCTTGGAGATTTTCTGATTGCTTCATATTTAGAAGTCATACAGGAATCCGGTTATGACGATACCTACATTCAGGATATTGAGGTAACTGTTTTATCTGTTGATTATGTCTTTTTTCACATTGTTGTTAGGCTAAATGCTTTTCCATAGATTTAGTGTTTAGCGTGTTTAATGTTAGAGCACGTTATGTGGTGGTTTTCTTGGCTGATGAGATGACTTCTTTTTGCTGATAACAGAGAGAGGTAATAGTGAAAACTCTAGATTCGTTCTGGAGGGACCATCTAATAAACATGAACAGGCTTAGCTCCGCGGTAACCTATTTTCCTCGTTGTTAAAAGTATTGTTTCTGATAGATCCTAGCTTGTCATAACAAAAGACTTGTGTGGGTTGTATGCCAGGTTAATGTTCGAAGCTTTGGGCACAGAAATCCTCTGGAAGAGTACAAAATAGATGGGTGTCGCTTCTTCATCTCAATGCTCAGTGCAACTAGAAGATTGACAGTTAAATCGCTGTTGCACTATTGGTCATCTCCAATGGAATCAGAAGAGTTATTTGCACCATGAAAGCTGAACATGTAAGTTTAATTTGTAGCTGTTCTCCTAGTTTTTGCTGACCATTGTTTTCCACTTTTCCTATCTAGTATTCCGGTTCCTTCTCAGTAATAGATGTTCATATTGTCTTTTTTATGCATTTTTGACAATTTAGTTGTGCACTCCATGAGTTTCGGTCTCAGCTTTGTTTCTTTGAGTAAATTATAGGTGTTTGATAATTAATTGGAAGATGGTGTAAGAATAGAGTTGTCATGGCTGAGTTTCCTTTTATTGTATCCATATGTAGTAACATCATTATGTTAGTTTACACTGGACCACGCTGGTTAGTTTTCTTTCCTAATAAATTTTGATCCATTGTCATATTTTTTTAAATAGAACATATAGGCTGTTGAAACTCTGGCTTATTTCTTCAAAGGAACTTTATAATTGGACCTGCTTTGTGAGAATTTGTTTTGTTATGTATTGTTATTGACAAGTCGTTTCTGGGTGATTTCTTTCAGAGAGGAAGCAAAAGAATATCCTTTTTGAGTTCCGAACCTACATTTCCTTGGCGTTGACACAAGGATATTAATTTCCAAGGTTGGTTCTAGTTCTACTTCTTTCGGTTGGATCCGCTTCCCAACTTTAGGCATCCTTCACTGTGAATCTAGGTATCATATCTTCTCAAACGAGGTCATGGATTTCTTTTATCAACTCGTAGTGAAAGGAGCATGCATTTGTTAACATATATTACTTAAGCAAATAAAAAGAAGTATATTCCTTAAGCAAGTTATGGTGTTTAATAAGAGGGCAATCCTCATAATTTGGCTCAAATCCGGTACACCACTCTAAAACTGCGGACTAGGTTGCATGATTTGGATATGGGTATCAAGTATAATATAGATATGGATTGTACTCAAATTACAAGGCTAATACAAGGGACATGTCAATTGTTTGATAATTAGTCCCATGTTTCCTGATTGAAAAGAAGCCTATGCAGAATGTGCTCCAAATTGAATATAAATTATCAAAATAGAGGGTACATTTAAGAAGTATCGGGCACATATTTGACAAGTGTTCGATAAAAGTTGGTATCTGATACATGTCAAGTACATACATTTCTTTATTGGACAAATTTTCAAAAGAGCCCTATTTGCAAACTTATTCCCCCAAAAACGACCACTTTCAAGTTTATTTGTCAAAACCGACTTGGTTTTAGCCCCAGGGCTGAAACCAGGTCGATTTTGGCGAAAAAGTTTCCAAACTTCACGGGACTTCAAGTCCCGTGAAGTTTCAAAGTTCAAAAAACTTCACGGGACTTGAAGTCCCGTGAAGTTTTGTTTTAGTTCTGAAACTTCATGGGACTTGAAGTCCCGTGAAGTTTCAGGCTCATTTTCCAATCGCGGCTCTGAAAAATGAAAACTACAACTTCACGGGACTTGAAGTCTCGTGAAGCTGCAGGTTTTAAAAAACATGCACATCTATACGCAACGTAATCACGAAAGCTACACATACAACCCAAAATATACATGAAATTTTTGCCATGAATCAATCGATTTACATGAATCAAACAATATATACTGAATCAAACAATAATCACGAAAATACACCTGTGAACAATAATCGATCTCATATAGACTGAATTACAACAATATTCTTAAAATTCAACCATGAATTAAACACGAATCAAACAATACTCACGAAGATCACATATATAAACAATAATTGATCCACATAAGTATAATATTTAAAAAATCATAAAAGTTACAAATTTCATCAAAATAAGATCACATACAATCCAAAATTCCTCCTCTCCTTCCTCTCCCTCTCTTCCCCCTTCCCCTCGTTCTTCCCCGCCCCCTGCGTTCCTGCTGATTATCTGAGTATCTGGTTGTGTATGAGGTTGAGAAGTACCGACTCCATCAGCATGCGAAGTGCCGGCTCCATCGTCATCGGCACGTGGCCTACGTCGTCGCGTGTACATTTGCCCAAAAGATCGAGACGTGTCCTCACGGTCTGCAAACTCGTCGACATGAGTCTTATGAAACACCTGTGCTATTATCATCTTGATCCTGTTAAAGACCCCTAACGTCGTCGGATCCTGAATCTCAGACATGTGCTCATCAGTTTCGACTTCAATGTTATCAAAAGCACGAACTTGCGAGTTAAACAATATATACACAATTTAGCAAATAACATCTTAATAAAAAAATTACTGTTTTAATTTAGCTTAGAAACTTACATAATCTTTCTCGATCATTCCACTGGGGATGTAACTATCTATCGGTGGGCGTGACATGTGCCCAGCTGATGGCTATGGGTCACGCGTGATCCATCTACGTGTGACATCCCAATACCAACGCATATACGCGGTATAGTCAACAACTGTGTCTCTCGTATCCTGTATGAAATCCCACCTGTGAATCCACCTGTCTATGTAGACCGCACGGAGTACGGCCCAGTCCGTATGATGCGATGTAGGTCATCACCTACGATCTATCTGCTCGACAGGATCCGACACATGCTGAGGGAGCAAAAATTATCGTAGTACAAGGTTGAGGACATGCATCTCCACAATCTCCCAACAGATCAATGAAACTCTGGCTCTCCACAAGTCGGGATTATCTCGACAGATAGGTGGAAGAGTATGCATATCGAGCTCCGGCGGTGAATAGGGTCTTCACTTGAACTGAAATAAGATAAAATATTTATCAGTGCCAACAACAAAACTATAATATTCATAACGATTTGAGATTTATATTTACCTGTTCGTGTTGGAGGCCATCAAGCTCATTTTGGTGAAACTCATGATGTCGCGTCGCTGATTTGTACTTAGCGTACCGCACATTATACCTATTTGACATAAAGAATATATGAGTACAAATTCAATATGTATAAAATTGTATGGACAATTATACCTGTATGCCAAAGGAAACTGGCCTTGTAGGTCACTGTGCACAAACAAAGTAGGTCGTCCAATATGAATGCGCTCCCATGAACAAATCTGTATTAATGTGCAGCATCCCTTGAATTGTTTATTCTGCATCAATGATACCCTACCAAATTCTCTATATAAGTATGTCAACACCGCACTGCCCCATGATAGTGCGTCGTATACACCAAAATCCTCTAGCAGTGACAGCCATCGTGCATGTATAAGAGTATTGCTCGCATCAGGAAATAGCATGCACCTTATCATGTGCGATATATACGCACGAGCATGATACTGAAGTGTTTCAATGAAAGTATCAGCTGGTAAATCTCCCTGAAATGTTGTATGAAGTCACGATAGCTTTATCGCACCACTCCTCAAGTCCGGAACCTGACCAAGAAGCCTAATACATACTTTAGCCCAATTATGGTCATCGATGCTCGTAACTGTCGGGCTATCGATGCGGAGCCCAAATATGACGGCTACATCCTATAATGTGATAGTACACTCCCCTATATGCATGTGAAAGGTGTTGATCTCTGGCCTCCACCTCAATAAGTGAACTGATAAGTGTCCAATCAAGCCTAATATATCGCACTACCGAGCACTCCCGGAACCGACTTGAGCTATCAACTCTAGTACTCTCATCCTCAATGACCTAAGTCGAATGACTTTGTGAATGATCGATTATGGGAATGTCTGGTACGGGCTGCACATTAAACAAAATTGATTTAGTATATTGAGAAAAATTAAATTTAATGCCAAAAATAAGGAATATTTTTATATATACAAAAAACGTTTTACTTGTCCCGAGCCAATAAGATCTGAACAATAACTCGCTTAGAGGTACAAAACGTCGCCATGTCTTGGTCCCGGATCCATAATGGATATAACTGAGATTACAACAAATGAATGTGCAATGTGAACCGGGATTAATTAGAAATCAAACAATAAAATTATGTCCCAAACATAATACAAAACGCTATATATTACAAATACGAATGTCACATGTGAACAAACATTAACATTAAAAAATCAACGCCTAATTCTAGCTGGATAATTGCTTTTATTGTGGCCCGGTTGATCGTATCCACTATACTTATTTTTCCTCCTAATTTTTTCTCGACCGTCATCCATGGAATTTCTAATTCGTACGGAACGAGGGCGCCTAGCCGATCTTTTATACAAAGGAGAATATCCGTGGCCTGTCTTGTGTTCAATGTCGACTATTATATGGTGGACGAAAACACTCTTTGTATGTTTGTTGATAGTTGTAAGTTGAATACCAATTTGCGATGAATTCATAATGTGAAATCCTCGCACCACCCTGCAGATCAGAGCAAGCTGCGACAACATGTGAATAAGGAATCAATTGTAGTTATGGTACATTGCAAGTGCACGTACACGTGTGATCCACTAGCATATTGACTTTGTACGAGCGACTTTCTCTATGTGATATTCCCTCAATGACCTCTCATTCATTAAAATTGTATCTTACGACATGAAATGATCGAGCGGAGACAATCCGAGCTGCTAACATTTCTTCAACCTTCGGCGTGAGCTCTGAGAGGATATTTGTACCAAGTTCTCGACGTTGGAGAAAGAAATTATTGTCTGTAAAATGTTTTTGCAATTAGTGACTGTATTGGCATACCGCGTGCTCCCCTAAGCACACTACTGAAACTCTCAGAAGTGTTCATAGTCATCATACATAATTGTTTCCCACCATCTTCACATAAAGCCCACTTATCAATATTGTGTGATCCCAAACTAGTTTCGATCCATTCATGGGCAGCTTGTGAAATGAACTTAATTTTCTCTCGTATTTGATCATAAACTAATTTTTCTGTTGCACAGCCGGCTTTGACAAAGAAGATCTTGAATCTGCATGTTTCCATGCTTCTTCTTGAAGTTGTCCCAAATATGTCGCAAGCAATAAAAATATTCATGTGACGACGAGAAATGTTATTGTAGTGCTTTTGGAATTCCTTTCATCCTATCAGATATGAATGTAATCGACCGCTCCCTCACACTAGGGATATGACTTCTAATGCATACAAAAAACCACACCAAATTCTCTGTGTTTTCAATATCAATCACTGCAAACGTCAAAGGAAATACTCCACCATCTACGTCAACTCCAGTTGCAACAAGCAAAACATCTTTGTACTTATTGTACAAGTGGGTACCATCAATGTTAAGAAGAGGACGACAATATCTGAAACCCTAAATACAATGGCCAAATATCCAAAATACACCTGTGAACCGTCGTTCTCCGCCAACAGGGTCTGATGATACTTCATAGACAGTCTCCGGATTTTTTCTTTTGAGTGTTTCAAGATAATGTGATAAGATCTCATAAGATTTGTCTCAATCCCCGAATATTTTTATCATCATCTTCTTCCTAGCATTCCAACACTTGTTGTATGATACATTCAATTTGGTCGTTTTATGCACTAAAAGACGAATTTTTTTTGGCCTTAGATCAAGATCCTCCCTTAGATTAGGTAAAATCAATCGATATATAAAAGATGCGGATGCAAGCTTGTTATTCATCTCTAATCGAAGATTGCTACATGTGTGGAGTCCGTTGTAAGCCGTGATTTTAAATTGCTCGCCTACTCTTACACTTAAACGTGAATTAAGCTTCCAATGATATTTCGCATAGTCGTCGTGGTGTCCACTACTATCTTTGTCTTCGCCATCTTTGCGATAAAAACAAACCGTATTATAGCTTGTTGCGTTATTTTTTGTTGGCCTAAACTTGATATTTTTTCAATGGCCCACAAACGAAGCGCATGGATCAATTTTTCCTTACTTTCAAATAGATCCCCCTTTTTGAATGAGAAGTTCTCGTCTTGTGTATCATCAACGATGTTAGTGCCGATAGGAATACTTTTCATCGTGGAGTTATCAATCCATTCTTCTTCATGAAGTTCATCGGGCGACGGATCCTCTAACACGACATACTCATTAATATAACATCCGTCAATGTGTTGGTTGTCCCTTTCATCACGATCAATCAAACACGTCATGCTATTAATTTGTAAGCCCTCTTCTTCATCACCATCATTGGATTCGACACTTGCATTATCATTTAGATGGGTGTTTATGGAAAAATTTGCAGTAAAAGAAATGAAGGAAAATTGATTTGTATTCCTTTCAAAATCGATTACAATTTGGATTCCGATTACAAAAGAGAGAATAATGAATTTGATTCTCCCTTTTGTTTAAAACTGGGTTCTTCTTGACAGCGATGGAGTGCCTCCTTCGAATGCTTGCGTCGAATTTGCTCTCCGTTGACGATCCGATCGTCTTGTCTCACGGGAACGATTAACTTGTATGACAAGTTTGATTTAGGACTCTTAGCGAGTTTAATAACTCAGCGAGTTTTAGAAGAACTTGCAGAGTAAGTTTTAAACTCTGATCGAGTTGATAACTCTGAACGGAGTTGATAACTCTGAACGAGTTTGAAACTCTATGGAAGAGTTGATTTAACCGAAAGTCGGTTATAAGCCAAGGATGAAGAAGCTCCTATTGTCGATCTCCAAAATCCCAACCGAAGGATGAAGGCTCTTCTTTGCTGCCAAGGATGAAGAAGCTCCTATTGTCGATCTCCAAAATCCCAACCGAAGGATGAAGGCTCTTCTTTGCTGCCAAGCTTCAGATCCAAAAAGCCATCCTCCGATCAACCAAGCCCGCTCTTGACCGAATCTCCCTCCGTTGATGAGACAAGATCCGATCCCTTAACTCAATTGAGTTTCTCGTATTTATATGGGATTAAGGGTGGTAACTGTCCCCTTAATCCGCTCCTAAGTGGGGTGGAAATCCCTCAAATCTTGGGGAAAAAACGGTTCCTGGAACTGTTCGGTTCGTGTTTGAACGAGTCAAACGCCGAAAATGACGTTCTGGGCCCGAACTCTGCGTTTTAGACTAAAAACGCAGAGTTGGGCCTATTTTGGGTGGCTGAACGCACAGGCCGCGATGCGTTGTAAATCTGAAACGCAGAGTTGGGACGCAGAGATGAACTCTGCGTTTTGGACTTAAGACGCAGAGTTGGAACACAGAGATGAACTCTGCGTTTTGGATCTGAGACGCAGAGTTGGGACGCAGAGATGAACTATGCGTTTTGGCTCCGGAATATAGCCACGACCTCTGCGTTTTGAGTTTGGAACGCAGCCCCGACCTCTGCGTTTTGAGTTTGGAACGCAGCCACGACCTCTGCGTTTTGGATCTGGATCGCAGCCACGATCTCTGCGTTTTGAGTTTAGAACGCGGACACGACCTCTGCGTTTTGAATCTTGGATGCAGAGGTGAGCCTTAGGTGGGCTCGGCGAGCTTTAGGCTAAGTCCGATGTTCTGACGAAGTCCAGTCTTGCAGACGGACTTCAGAACATAACTTGCTGCGAAGAACAGGTCATAACTTTCAAACCGTAAGTCGGAATTGGACGAATTATGTATGAAAATCGGCTATCTCGACGAGACGGAGCCGACCAAACCAACCCCATAGGGTTCGGTTTGCTCCGTCAGTTTTGCCAAATTCCTTACGGTTTGAGAGATATCTGCGTTTTAATATGAAGAGACCGTTGATTTGTATTTTCTTTCGCTAGAGCGTTTGCAAAGATCGTCACCTTGTAACCTTCGTCTTGGCTCCTTGAAAATATGAGAGTCATCAGATTGTAACTCCCGATGTTAATTGTGAAGGCTGTTGAATTAGAGCTTTTATTAGTTGTTGTGAAGGTCGTCAGATTGTAACCCGATGTTAATTGTGAAGGCTGTTGAATTAGAGCTTTTATTAGTTGTTGTGAAGGTCGTCAGATTGTAACATTCTACGTGAAAGTCTTCAAATTGTAACATTCTGGAAGTCATCAGATTGTAATTTCCATCATCGGTGTTTGATGGGGATTAACTATCTGTTGTGATTTTTATACAACCTACAATGGGCCATGTTAGTAACGATATTAGAAGTGCCCACAAACAAGGACCGCTCACGTATTGTGTCTGTGTCCAACCTTCATCTTGTTGCGGAGATAAAAAGCCAACGGAGTCAACTTCAAGGTCCTTCAACATGCGGGAGTATATTCCGTCGTGATTCACCGATTTGCCCAAATTTCTCTGATGTTTTTTAATAAATAATTCCACCGAACGCTTCTCGTCGTGTAACACTCCAATGAGACTCATATCATAGTCACTTGAGATTTGAATGTCGTTTGTTCTGTCCCCCCAACAAGATAATTGCAAATAATATTGAAGTGATACTCACGTGAGTTGGTTAATGTAAATTTGTGTAAGTCATTAATCAATTCAACGAAAGTAAACGATTTTGATATAAACAACGGCTTCGTGACATCTCCTTCATAAACGAGCATATTATTTTCGAGATAGTTAATCTTCTCATCATATGAACAAAGAATTATGATTCGATCGTTCATCGTTACCTCTGAAGAGTAAAAAAATTCAATATTAATATTAGAAACCCATAATTTTAACCATTAAATCTCTTAGATCGATATTAGAAACCCATAAACTTGACATTTTGTTAACTTCACGGTTACAAATTTCGATAATTTCTCCTCTAACTTCATACACAATATTATTTAATTTTTCTTCACAAATTTCATAAATAATTACAAATTTATTTAAAAATCTAATTTTTTACAAGTAATCACCAAGAAATTGTGAGAATATACAAAAAAAAATCTGAATTATTTTTTTAAAGATTTTACTTTAATATTGACGATGCCTTAATTCCGGTGAACTCCGGCGGTGACGATGCGGGTGAGGGCCGACGGTGGGGGCCGACGGGAGGGACGGCGACGGGGTCGGTGGCAACGCTAGTGAGGGGAGGGGGTGAGGGCGGGGTGAAGGCTAGGGGTGAGGAGGTCGGGTTCAAGAGGAGAGGGGCTAGGGTTTTGGTCACGAGATCACTTCTGCCTTATATAGGCAAAGCGAAAACTCCACAGGACTTGAAGTCCCGTGGAGTTGCAGGCCTTATTTTCCAGAGCTGCGCTTCTCTGGAAAATGAGACTGAAACTTCACAGGACTTCAAGTCCCGTGAAGTTTCAGCGCTAAAACAAACTTCACGGGACTTTAAGTCCCGTGAAGTTTTTTTTACCTTTGAAACTTCACGGGACTTCAAGTCCCGTGAAGTTTGAAGTCCCGTGAAGTTTGGGAACTTTTTTCACCAAAACCGACTTGGTTTCGCCCTGGGGTTGAAACCATGTCGGTTTTTGACAAATAAACTTGAAAGAGATCGTTTTTGGGGAATAAGTTTGCAAATAGGATTCTTTTGAAAATTTGTCCTCCTTTATCTGATACATATCAAGTAAATACATTTCTACATCATTGAATTGTTCATTTGAGACATGTGTAATCCTACTATTGTCTTGTGTCTGAATAAATTTTAGTTGGGTAATAATCAGACAAATATGGAAAAGATGTACTAGAAGTTATAAAGATGGTATCTGCTGGGTGTTGGATATATTTCCTATATTTTTGAGATAATATAGTATCCTCGATGAAAGAAAGGTCATTTTGGGACACAAATATCCCACCCGTACCTAGAGTGTCTGCTAGCTATTCAGTAGTAGCTCATGTATTTTATTGAGAGAGAAGAAAACTAGAAATTCCTGCTTAACAAATGGTAGAGATAGATTCCTTCGACTTTTCAAATTCAAAGAAACGTGTGAAGTTCCCTTTTCACGTATGAAATCTCTTTTCTTCAAAAAGTAGTTGATTCTTCATCTTCTAATGGCATTTGTCATATCCTTTCATTATTTTTCCCTAATACAAAATGACCATTTTTAATGTTAAGAAGTAAATATATGAGAACATTTGATTCGTTTTACTACTTAATAATAGAAATTTTGTTCTTGTTCTTTCAGATGTCATTGTGATTTGATGGTCCCGATGAAATGGTGAAAATATTATTACGATGGCGTAGTCTGCAGATTTATGCGCAAGATATTCAAAAGTTATACTGGTCTAAAGGATGCTAACAATGATGTGGATTGTATGTATCACGGACCCTTGTGTTTAATTTAACGAAGCATGTACATCACCAATATATGTATATAGTAAACTTTTATGTTGTAAGAACAGTAAATTTGTAAATTGAGAGATAAAGAGATTGGCATATGCAAATTACTGCCAACACAATTACATTGTAAACTCTCGAATTGTCCTGTCGACATAGAAGCTAATTTGTACTTTTGAGTTAATAACATGCTAATGAGCGCAAATACTTGATTCTGGGAATTCTTTTTTGTTAACGCGAATTATATTTGCAATAGTTATGTGTCCCCTTAAATCAGCGTTGAATGTAGGCAACAGGAAATATTACACGCTATGCTAATGAGTGTTCCCACCCTCTCTCTTCCCAGGGGGGAAAAAATATGGATGTGTAAGCAAATATTATTTGATTGAATGGGATCAGATGCTTACCCGTCAGTATAAGAATCTTATAGTATTCTTTTTTGTGAATGCTTAAATTTCTACATGTGTATAATAGTTGATTATCAATAACGGGTATTTTTAACTGATAGATATAAATTTATCAATTATATTGTATTTTCACAGATAAGACTGTGGGAAAACAGAGAGGATCTACATCCATTTACAACTACAAGCTATATTTCAACTACTCTTGAAATTAACTTGTAATAATATTATAAAGGAAAAAAAAAGAAAGAAAGAAAGACACAGGAACACCAAAATCAAGTACATGAAACTTTTCCTCACAATTTCAAACCCAACGCATATCATCAACTCCTGAGAGAAGCCTTGAACTTCAACACGAAACCAAGAACAAAGAGAAGGGCAACAATTCCAAACGAGGAACCTCCCACTCTATGAATCCAGTACGGATCAAACCGCACAAATCTGCGATCAAAGAAGCAGGTTACATTGATCGCAACAATCAAGAGTATGAGCACCAAGGGAAGCAACACAGAGAGGGAACCGTCTTCATCCTCTTCGTCTGGATCGAACCGAGGCCTTCGGTCGATGTAGAGGGGAGACATCACTGCGAGAAGGGCTAAGGTAAGGGCTGTGAACTTCTCAGTTGCAGAGGGAGCCCTCATTTTGGGTTTAGAGAGGGAGAAGAAGAGAGAGATCGACGTGGTGGTGTTATTGAGACTTCAAAAAATTTATGTTGTATAAGAAAACCTGCACGCTACTTCAAGAGTGTGACAAGTGCCAATATGCCCTGCACTGCTGTGATTTCGCATGCTTACATTCGATGTGTGCTACCTTTTCTTTAGACGGATGGTTGTGATTCATGACTTCTAATATAAGATGTCACAGTCTATGAAGTGTATTAGTTTCTTTATTTTATGGGAGAAGAATCACGGACGTCCATTGAACAATAGATAATTTTTTTTTTTAGAGAAAGGATGGATTACTGTTAATCATAACAGTAATCCAGCCAGCTAAATTATTGAACAATAGATAATTATGATCGGGAGAAGTGGTTCAATGAGTTTCTAGTTATAGATAGAATTTAGTTTGTATAGCCGAAACTAGGTTGTTACATGTACAATGCTCTCATGAAATAGAGAGAGAGATGGGTAGATGGATGTGGATTTTAGGGGGGATTTTTGATAGAAACAATTTAAAGATATAATGATCCATGTGAGGGAAATCTTAATGTAAAGAAAAAAAAAGTTCGACACTAGAAAAATGCATATAAATTAATGCAGGGAAAAGTAACAATATATATTTGTTAAAAGGAGATGTAATGCTTGACTAGGTTGTGTAGAAGGTAATTTTGTTATAAAGTGAAAGAATAAGTTAGGTAAGGTGGGGAGAGAACAATATGCAGATAAGATCCTCATCGTCTCTGATCTATGGAATCTGATGCTCAAACGTGTGGAGTACTAACAACGAGATTTGGATTTTTTTTTCTCCCCTCGAAGGAGAAGATATTCATATATTCCTTTTTTTGCTAACATATTCATATATTCATATGTTCCTGATTACTTATATAACTAGTTGATCCTTTTGGTTTATTTGTATATTTTGGTTAAGGACGAGCATCGTTTGCTTTGTTGCTGTCACTCTTTGAAAATTTTGGTACTGGTTTCTAGAAGCAGAGCATCTCCTTGTACTTGGGATAGAGAAAAATCTATATACAGAACACGAACTAATTATTTTTCATATGTTATTTTGTAAATTTTCTTTTAATGTGTTTCTTCAGGAGAAAATCTATATACAGAACACGAACTAAATGTAGATAGTATATAAAAAAAAGAGGATTAATTATGAAAACTCATCAGTAGGATTAATTTCTCAGTCCACCCATTATATATAACCTTATGTTGTGTAATCATAATGTATTTAACCTTATATAGGCTACGTTCGTACTTCATTCCAATAGAGTTATAGAGAGGAATTATTCCAGCCATTTCGAATTTATAAGTAGATTTCAAGTCTCATTTTGGTCGATAACGTTCTTCATTTTTTACATGACTGATATTAGATATCAATCACGACTGACAAAAAGAATGGATTTGCGATCTTCCGGTTGATATTAAGTACTTTTAATTGGTCAATATCCATAATCCAGGAAAATTTGTGGGAACTTTGATTCACTTAGTTCAATTCATTTTCATGCATATACCTCTCGTTATCAAGTTATTTTTGGATAATTCTTCCATTATTATTTCTTTTCCCTGTAAAAAATACATGAAAAATGAATTCAATTCTTAAAAAAAAATGTAGAATTATGCATGCATCTCTCTCTCTCTCACTCACTCATCCTTTGATTGGTGCATTGAAAAGCATCTTCTCTTGTATAAAGATGGAAAACATAATTTTAAAGGAATATGTACCAACCAAACCATATAAAAAGCATCTTCTCTTGTATAAAGATGGAAAACATAATTTTAAAGGAATATGTACCAACCAAACCATATCTGCATGTTTTCCCCATTTGAAAACATAATTTTAAAGGAATATGTACCAACCAAACCATATCTGCATGTTTTCCCCATTTTTATTACCGCCGATCTAGCCAGATTCAATCTTCTGCATAGTGAAGGAACCTTCGTTCACAACTTTAGAATACCTCATCATGTAGCGGCAAAACTCACACCAGATGAGAACATATGGGTCTCATATTTTTACAATCAGAAATTCCATCAGTAAGTCTAGTAACTCTCATTCATGTTTGGTTGCATATTATCTATGATATTTTATCCACTCATCTTAATGTTTGTGTATAAATGTTAATATTTGAGGTTATATGTTAACTTATGGACATTTATGTTAACGTTTGCTTGTACATGTTACCTTTCACTGTTACATGTGCATGTAACATGTTTATCAGCAACTGTTAATGTTTGTATCGTACAGTTATATTTCAGGTCGTGTATTATTGTTGATACGTTGAACAATAGTATCGATTCTTTGGAGCATCTTTATCTGCTATGTGGAGGCCGTATCGAGGACCATGCAAGTTTAATATGTTATATATGAAGGCTATAATCCATAAGGTTGATATGAATCAAGTAACTACTCCCGATGCTGAGTCTGATGTTATCTGTGCCATGCTAGCAACTGAACTTCTAATAGAAGGATGACAACAGAAGAATAAAGTAGAGACATTTGATAAGGATGAGAGAAAGTTATTCTAAAAATTGATTGGTTGAACCAAAACTTGTGTGCATGTCTGTATTGTGTATATTAGTTTAGTTGTGTAAACAGTTGATGTGGATGACAAACAATACAACAAGCTTAACCTTTATTGTTCTTATTATATTTTCTAGTATTTTTGCCATTATATGTTTACGTTTTGTTTTGATACAACAGATGTTGGCCTTCTTGTTTTGATGATGTTTAACAAACAATTTACGACTAATGTTGTTTGTCTAGAGTTTGTGGTTTTCTATTTATTGTAGACAAACAACATGTTGGAGGATGGATGAAATTGCGCATTCATGATAATATCCAATGGATATTGACGGAATAGTGGAGTGAAGCCTTGCAATTCAAGTCAAGATCCAAGTTCAAGCTTCATCCGCAAAGTATACCAAGTTGAGCTACATCGAAGATCAAGATTGATTGGGTATATTTAGTTTAGGTTTTTATATTGTGTGTGTTGATACTTTAAGCTCAATCACTTACATACATACAAGTTTTGGTTTCTTATATATATATATATTTATACACGTTTTGATTTTTAGTTTTCATGTTTATATAAATATGAATTTATGAAAATCTTGAGTAACTGGTTTATAGACTTAACAACAATAATTTATATCTTTTATCAAGTCTATAAAATCATTTTATTAAGTTTCAAAACTTGGTTTATGTCAAAACATCAAAACTCAAGTATCTCATGTTTTCATGTTTTGAACTATTTTAAAAAATAAAGAGTTTTCACATTTGGGAGGTTCTTTTTGAAAACTAATTTTTGTAACATATGTATTATCATATCTACAATCATTTTCCAAAGTTTTACATTTTTCTGAATTTATTTGATATTTTTAAACACTGTTTTAAGTTGATATGTACTGTTTAAAACAGGCTGTGTGCATGTCTTGAGTCGACTCATGAATAGTGTTGAGTTGACTCATAAACTGTTGTGTAGTTTATATTTTGTTTCTGATGAGTCGACTCATAACATCATGAGTCGACTCAGACAGGTTGAGTCGACTCATACCTGTCATAAGTCGACTCATAAACTATGCTGGAAAGTGTGTTTTGTTTCTGATGAGTCGACCCATGACTTCATGAGTCGACCCATGCATGATGAGTCGACTCATGAATTTTATGAGTCGACCCATAAGCTGTTTTTAGCCTATAACGGCTAGGTTATGAGTCGACCCATGATTTTTATGAGTCGACCCATAAAGTGTCCGTTGCACAGTAACAGCTATTTCCATATTCTGTTTTTGTGTGGTTTTTGGTCCTTTCCTTGGGGTTTTGATTATTGTCTTGGGTTGTTATAAATACCCCCACATATCCTCAGTTCTAAATACAGAAGAGAATGTTTTAAGAAAGTTTAACAAAGGTTTAAGTTTCATTTAGTTTTGTTTCAAGTTTGGTTTGTGAAGATACTTTCATAAGAGGAAGTGGAGATCAATTCATTGGTATTTAGTTTTGTTTCAAGTTTGGTTTGTGAAGATACTTTCATAAGAGGAAGTGGAGATCAATTCATTGGTGGTTGAGCTTCAATTCATCTCTCTCTCTAGATACTTTCATAAGAGGAAGTGGAGATCAATTCATTGGTGGTTGAGCTTCAATTCATCTCTCTCTCTCTTGTCATCTAGAGAAGTTTTCCTAAACTCAATTCTAGTTTTTATTTATAATTGTTTATTGATTATCATTTCTACAAGCTAGTTTTTCATAATTGAGTTTAGTTTTGATTTACTCATTGTTTACACACACAACCTATTGAGCTTATTGTATTTACATTCATAGTATAATTTGGGTTGTGGGGAGTGTATCATTGAGTGTGAGCTTACATTGTGTTCTCATCCATATTAGAGAATAATCATTTGTTGTATTGTGCTTATTGTGAGATTCACTTTGTATTACACTAGTACACCGAGAGGAGTGTGTGGTGAGAGACGGGATCGCTTCCAAGAAGAGTGGGGTCGGTAGTAAAGCCTAGAGAGAGGTGGTAATTCTGAGCACTTGAGGAAGGACACGAGCTAGAGACCAACACTTAGAGGGTGTGGAGTGTAGTTATATTGTGAGATTATGAACGTTGATCGGTGAGCGTTGAAAACCGATATTGTGTGGTGTAAATGTTATTCGGGTGAGCGTAGAAAACCCGGTTATGATAGTGGAGATCTCCTCGAGGTGAGGAGCGGAAACGTAGGTCGTGAGGACCGAACTCCGTGAATATATCGTTTGTTTGTGATTGCATTGGCGCACTTATTTTTTATGTTCATACCTTATATCGCTTTTGTATATTGCTTGTTGTTTATATTGCCCACTATCTAGTTTAGATTATTTACCCTTGTGTTATTTGTATATCCTCGTGTTATTTGTATTACCCACTATCTAGTTTAGATTATTTACCCTTGTGTTATTTGTATATCTCATTGCTGGGATATTTTCCTTTGTTCATATTGCATATTCTTGCTCATAACATATTATATATCTATATTGTAAGAATAATTTATTAATAAGTTTTAATTAGCATAAAATTAGATTAGATTAGCACAAGACCTTAATCACCCCTCTCTAGGGTCTAACAACAGGAAAAACCAATACTTAACATGTACATTTGACAAGTTAACATATTCAGTTACATGTCA